GTTGATGATTAGGACTGCAGTTGATCAGGTTCTTGTTGGCATATATGCATCCTGTACGGAGTGCCTCGATATTGTCCGAATCACAAATATTGTAGGATAAATTCATTAACTATTATGCCGTTATTGTTTAGTTGGTTGGTTAAATGCAATTTACTAAGTACTCGGTTACCCAAACTGATTGTTCAGCGAGTAACATTAATTTTCATATTTTGTGTTAAGTTTATTATTTCTTGTTGTAGAAATAGTGTGTAATCATCTTGTTTTCATTTGTGTGTGATTAGTACATTTTGGTCATATTACGATTATATATTCACCTTAGAGCCACTATACTCTTTCGTAACTTTAAACTGGTTTATATGTGTACTGTCCTACAGACAGCTTTACTTTGTGACTGTGAACAATTTTATCCCTATATAAAATCTAAAGCTGATCAGTTTATGTAATACAACTCACAGATTAGTTTTAGTTCATTTCTGTTCATCATGTGTGTTTAAAGGCTGACTATTTTTTCCACATTTTCCACAAAATTTTAAGATGTGAATCATCGATATAGCGATGTTAAGATCGTTGGGTTTTTTTGAAATCATGAACCCATTAATGTTGAACCAACATTGAAAGCCTGGAAGCACTAGATGACAGTTTAGTCTTAGTACGAGATTCTTCATCAGTGCGAAACGACGACCTCGCGTTCGAAAGCTAGGAACTTTCATCGAGCGGGAAGCGGTTACCAACCAAACACAATATCATGGAGTGATTAAAGTTAGATATAAAATCAATGGTTGCTGGCTCGGATTCGAAGTTTGAATCTCTTGTCCAAGGTCACGGATGCGTACTATTGAGGAGTCCCATAGTAGAACGAATCGACCGTCCAGTACTTCCAGGTTTTCAATGATGGTCTGACATTGGTCAGTTCATGATTTCCATGAAAATATTAATCAATTCTTAAAGTTCATAACGGTTGACTTTTTTTCAGAGTATTTTCAAACTCAAGTGATTTCATGATTAATCCTATGGAGGATATTGCGTGAATTTATCTTTATTTTATACAAATACTAGCTATAGTACTATAAGTATTGATTATTTTTAACTTAGTAAATCAGTGATGATATACATATATCGAAGAAATCCGTCCTATTTTTAGTAATATGGATGAAACTGCCCAACTTCCGATTTAAACTTCATTTTGATTATAGTCAATAAAAGGACCAAATTTTGTAAATAGACGATTAAAAGTAACTGAAATAGAATACACTATGTTCAAAAGAACCCCCTTCTCCCGATATGTTTACATTTTAAAGAGTAAAATCGGAACTTTTCAAAGTAATGGCTACTTTAACTAATGGTTAATTAATTACACTTACTTTGACATTTAATTAAACTGGGTGGTACCAAAAATGAATATGAATATGTATATCATTTATAGCTTCCTGTGTGTATTGAATATAAATACTTTAAAAGAATTACCATAATCAATCAAAATTCAAAAATAAAATCATAGAAAATTACTGATTGATGAAGTTACATCTAATTTTGGCGAGCTGAAAACCTCTATACAACTATTAGTCCAAATTAGAACGAATAATTTGACAGACATTGGGCTCCGAGTATAGAGGAGCCATTCTGTGTGATATATATATATGAAATAATCTCAGCAATTGAAATTAAAATAATTTCGACGTTTCGTCCAACAAACTTGTCTGGACTTCTTCAGAGTAATAATCAAAATCATCAAAGAAATATATAGTATTGTAGCAATCAAATCAGATCTTTACTGTTCTAATTTAATTATATTTGTATGTTGACTTTAGTATTTAGGATAACATGAATCAATGATACGTGAATAATGTGAAAACTTTACAATGTGAAAATTAATAAATGAGTGAAGTGTGTGTGTGCATGTGTAAGATTGACTTATTAATAGCCCCCAAATACCCTGGTATGGCCGAGAGTGGGTTGGGCCCGCCCCCCTCTCGAAATGCTCTCACACGGCCACGCGTATACAGCCTCTGCCAGGGAAGTCCTACTCACTGCCTTCTCTCACCAGGGGTGTTGTGTACGAAATTGAGAGGACGAAAAGCGAATGTCCGGCGCTTTAACCGGATTCCAAACCAATGGCGCACATGGGCTTCAGTATCTTGTGGGAACAAATGGCGTATGAACCAATCGTTGGCCTTTGGCTACCATGGGACTGTATGTCTTCACGATGCTCCATTGCCTTGTAGGTCAGACCTTTGGGTTAAAGGCTCGGGGTGTGACCCCCTAAGAAGACCACCTGCTTCGGTTTGGGCACCCGGGCAGTATCCCAGCCCTCACACAAATCGAATAATTTATGTGGCGCATGTCTATTTGGTGCCTCCTTGTACCAATGTTTGTGTTTTTGATATTCGGTGTTAAATTTGCTTTTATATAAAGCTCTGTCATAGTAATAAGCGATGAAATTAGCAAAGATGGATGGTGGCTAGTAGTGGAATTCAAGACGCGCGTTTCGTCCTATTTGGGATTCGTCAGCTGGATGTATCTGCATCTCAGAGTCAACAGTCAAAGTTGATAAATGAATAATTAAAAACATCAAAACGTGGCCTGTCCAGAAGCTAGAATAAGTTATATGGGCTTAACATAGTAACCGACACCACACTATGAGCATAATGAGTTTAGTCTAGAAAAAAGTCAAATGAAACTAAGTGATTCAAAGATAGTTAGAAAAAGGAAACCACCCAAACCAGCTTACTGACTTGACTAAATCTCAATCAGTAAAACTCGGTTTACCATAAGTTGTGAAAGGTATATGCAAATCGAATGAATCGTTGCATCAGATTTACATAGTGAAATATGAATAAATAATTTAGGTTTCGTTATCTAAAATTCAATTTATATTGGTCGAAGAGTTGTTAAATGCAAGCGATTAACTAACAAACGATGATAGATTATGACGATCTAATTCACACTTTCAGTCCTAAAAAAAGTATATATTATCATGTGGCATCGTCTGGTTTTGCTGGCTTTCGTGTCGCAATTAGCGCTAGAGTTGAGGCAGCACTGATCGATTGGTTCCCCATTAATAGTCGGTTATGTGATGTTCCATCGAAGTGTGGAGAAATCGGTTTGAGAAACGATGTCTGACATCCTTCCTCCGCATCTCAAGCCTGGACTTAGATCGACTACATCGCGATCAGCTACCGCTGGCGTGGTTGTGTACAAAGCTACCGCTCCTTTTGGAGTACCTATCTGTACTCTGATTATGCCCTTGTTTGCCTTAATCTTACATTACGTTTCAGTGGCCAACAAATTCATTGTCCGAAACTGATCGATGTCAGTAAATTGGTTGCAGCTTCTGTTGCAACTAACTGTTAAACCGAGCTAGGTTCAAGGCTAGCTAGCATACCACCGGAAAGTATGGATGAAGATTGGTTGCGATTGTATGACGCCATGAGAATAGCGAGTAAAGTAGCTTGCGGCTTCGTGAAACGTCCCGCGTATAAGCACTGGGTTTCTACAGGATCCTTACAACTCATTGAAGCCCGTCGGTTTACGCCTGATGACCACGAGTTTGACCATAAACAACGATTGTTACGTAATGGAACTGGGCAAAGCTTGTGTAAGGATAGAGAAGGGGTATGGAAGAAAGCTATACAGGACTGACTTCTGTCACTCTTTCACGACCTCCTAGTTGAGGTCCGAGTGATGGTGTAACAGTGGCTACAGACGTTATCAAATAAAGCTCATAATAGAAGCCAGTGGCGATCCTGATGTAACTTTTTTAACTGAAAGAACTCTTTCTGGTTGTACCTTTGTTAACTGAACTGCCTCTTCCATTATTGTTATTTCACTGCCATACACTAATTTCTGTTCTTTATTGTTCTCTTTTTTCTTATACTCACGTTACATTCTCTATCTCTTAGCATTCTCATTGCTATTGTGTAGCGCATATGCATCTGATGCCCCTTTGTACCAATATTTATGTGTTCAAATAAATAAAAAGGGTTAAAAGAGGGTTATAAATTGCTAATAAGGAATTAGGATTAGTATTAACAGTTAGAAGTTAGGGTCAAGAATCCAAGTTAGGATTTTCATCACACGATGACATTAGCTTAAGTGTCATATTACTATTTGATCATATGAATGAATAAATTTCACGTTCAAAATCCTAAATTTGCTATTGTAGTGAACGAGAACACAAGTGGAGACAACCGTATGTATTTTAATATAAAATTACAGAATCTCTTAGCAGAATCTAAGAACTATACAGTAAATACTTCATTTGCAATATATCAATCAATCGTTTCAGACCTCATTGTTCCTTCATTTCCACAGCAATCGTCCTCTGTTCTCGTTCCCTTTCCTTCAATCTTCTTAACTTTCTGCTGCCAGGTATTTTACTTTCAACTGATAGTACATACTACTTATATCCATCGACATCAGTAGCATACACCACACTGTCTTCAATTTCATTGATTCATCCATAAACTATAGTCTCCCTGTTATATCCTAGCGAAGATTAAATTACGGGTGACTTCTGAGAACTATTAATGGACTTATATTATATATATTCTTATTGCAAAACTATGAAGTAAGTAGATTATATATATCTATATTCCTCTTATTGTAAGCTTTATTTTGACCTATAGATTATTATTGTACGATTTACTGTTTTTATGTTCAGTTTACTGATTACAGTCTCCCACGTTCACGACCACTTTTTGACTTGATCTTGTATAAATTTTATTTCCTATTTTATAGTGTGATCCAGTTTGTTTGGCTAGTATATAAACCTAGTATATTTGAAATAAATGATTGGCATAGTGAAATCTGATATTGGTGTTCTGAACTCAACTGGACAGGTTAAGCTGCTCATACCGATTGAATGTCATTGGTTTAACACAATACTAAGATTAAATAAGTCGTATTTCGATTGGCGAATGAATCATGTAATAACTAACCGGTCTCAAAGTCACAACATTCCCCCTCCTCGCAAAAAAAATATAAAAATCTATACAAAACTTGGCGCATAGCATTACAAAATATAATAATACATCAATATACATTATAATTGAATAAAGATACATATTATATATGTAAAAATTTATTCATAATCATATGAGTTTTATCAGAACCATATAATATAGTAGAAATATGAATGATCTCAGATAAAATTGAATCATGATCCTTAAATGTAATAGAATCCATTTGTAATTTAATTAATTCATCATTAAATTTTATAAATTCTTCATAGAGATCATCATTACTATTATTAGTATTATTATTATTACTAGTAGTAGGAGTAGTAATATTAGTAAGAGGAGTAGGAGTATTATTAGTAGTAGTACTAGTAGTAGGAGTAGTAGCAGTAGTAGTAGTGGGATGAGGAGTAGCAGGAGTAGGAGTAGTAGTAGGATTAGTAGTAGTAGTAGTAGTAGCAGTAGTAGTAGTAGTAGTAGTAGTAGTAGTGGTAGTAATGGTAGTAATAGTAGGAGGAGGAGTATTAGTAGTAGGCATAGCAGTAGTAGCAGTAGTAGTAGGAATAGTAATAGTAGTATTAGTAGTAGTATTCAATCGATTAAAACAATGAATAAATAAATTAAAATAATTTATTAATTCCCATAAATATTCACAACTAATCATACCGAATTGTAATTGAACCCATTGAATTGATTTATATAAACACCATAAACCAATATTTTGTATAAATAACCAATTCGTTTGTTTTAAATTAAATTTTGTATGCTTTTTTAAAAATTTTGATTGAATTAAATATTGTCTACCTAAAGTATCATATAAATTACCTAAATTATTATCTAATGGCCACCATGAAATAGTTGAATTCATTGTAGCAATATTATGTATAATTTGTATAGAATTTTTCAAGTTCTCTAATGATTGTATAGGTTGCCAAGGTATTTGTAAAAGCTAAAATAAAAGAAAACAGAAAAAAAAGGAAAGAAAGAAGAGGAGTAGAAGAATCTGTGATCTGCTAGAAATGTACAGATAATGATGAGAATAGAGACTTTGATTAATGACAGTCCTTAATATTAACAATGGGAGTATTACACGTTGAAAATATTAGTGGGTATCATGACTCAATTACTTGGTGGATAATTTGTTAGGTGTTTGAAGTGAAATGTGCTAGGGTTGAGTTTGAGTGTGATTAACAATATTTGATTACAGTTACATGCAGATGATAAGTTTGAAATAGGATGGAACATACATTTTGGATTCCACTGATAGCTATATGCTAAATACACTAAAAAGATGATCATATTAAAATGAGAATGTAGACAAACTTAACAATAAACATTATAACTGTTATAATGTATGGTAGTTCAATTCTGTTACTGATTTATACACTTCCTATATGCAAGCCCAAAACAACTGGTTAGCGTTAGCGTTTTTTTAGCAAGTTATTTTTCTGCGGGATGGGATCGCTAACCCCATGCCCAACCCTCCTCCTTTATCCGGGCCCGGGGCCGGTAGTAGCTCCCGGAGGGACTCCAGGCGGAGTCCAGACAAAAAACTGGAAGTGGGCAGAAAGCTTTGAATAATTAACCGAATTATTAAATATTGATACATGTCTCTCGGAAAATTAAGTTATATTTTCAACTAAAAGAGTATGTCTGTTTCTTCAGAGAGTGAAACAAAATCTTGACCAAAAATATGCAGCCATTAGTCTATTTCCTTTATCTGATTGACTCAGCTTATCAACGAAACAATTATTTTTAAAAAAAACTTCATTTATTTTATTTTAGCCAGCTTATGAAAAAAAAGAACGGAATTTTTAAAACAACAATATTTATGATATTTCAATGATGCAAATAAACCCACTGATTATCTACAATTTAGATCCTGATTTCCCGAATCATTTCGTCATTTAAGTAACTGCCTCAAACCAAACACCGCTTCTCATTAGGACTCCAGGAAATCCATCTTGAAGCTAGTCACTAGTGAGCACATTATAATTATCAGTGTAGGGCTGTGGAGATTGTTGAATTTTGATTGAGATTATGACTAGACCAATGTGAGATCGAAGGTCTTGGGTTGAGTACTGCATGTGAGATCGTGGATGCGAACTGTTGAGAAGTTCAATACTAGAACGAAACGGCCGTCCAGTGCTTCCGAGTTTTCAGTGGTGGTCTAACATTGATCCATTCATGATCTCAATCAAAACTCCACAATCTCCACAGTCCTATACTGATATTGTTGATATTGATAACAATTATACTGCTCTTGGTATTTATTTTGATAAATTTATCTAACTATACTGATTTGATATAGTTGTTTGGACTAGGACCAAAGTTACTTGTGATTGGCTGACTGATTGTGAAATGGGGCAATAAAGTTAGATCGAAACAATCATATGAGTAATTTTTTAAAAGATAGATGGGAAGAAATTTATAGATTTCGTTCCCCATCGCCCGGCACCGTATGAAATTTGTCATCCGTTTGTTTGTGTTGGACATTATGTATGATTGTTTCATTTTGAAATCTAATCAAATATTTCATTTCAAAACGAGCAGACACAAATTTATTTTATATATCAGTACATTAACACTGCAAATACCTAGTAGTAACCAATTTCATGACTGTTACATTTTCGGTCACTTGAAATTGCCTAACAAACTCTGGATCTGTAAAGAATTCAACATACGCAAACATTCAGATTCGCTCATTTCGATACAATTTATTACACTATCCAAGCACACAAACATCCTTTTACATAAATTCATCTTGTATTTTATTGCACAAGTTGGTAGCTATCAGGACTCAGTAGCTAAGTGGATAACGTGATGGCGTTTGAAGCGAACGGCACTGGGTTCAAGTCCCAGAGAAAACTCAACTCTGGGATACAGGTACATCCAGCTGACTAGTCTCTAATAGGACAAGACGCGCGTCCTGGATTCCGCTGCTAGCCATCATCCATCCCTTTTAATAGGTTACATCCTAGCTGTTGAAACAGACGCACGAGATAACATGACTGGGGTCATAACAGTAACAATTAGTTACTAAATTCGAGAAATTACGGAATTTATCAATATTTATTGAAAGTAGACTCTGTTATACGTTTAGGAGAATACGTTTTTGACTCATTGTAAGGTGAATAGATAGATGGTAATGCAAACATATTTCACCCTGTCAAAAATTTCATTCCTTTTTACACTAATCACCTTTATTATTATGCGCTATTTTGATAGTCACACTCCATAATGCACACCTATTTGATGGTCAGCCCCGGATGCCCTGAGTGGATGAAAAGCGAATGTCCTGCGCTTTAACCGGGTAGGTGAGTATGGAGGACCCACCAAGTAGAGTTGGAAAATTCTGATTCCAAACCAATAGTGTACATGAGCTCCAGTATCCTGAAAGAACAAATGGCGTATGAACCAATCGTTGGTCACCGGCTGCCACGGGACTGCATCTCCTTACGTTGCTCCACTGCCTTGCGGATCACACCTTCAAGTCGAAGGCTCCGGGTGTGGTCCTCCTAAGAAAACCAACTGCTTAGGTTAGGGACCCGGGCAGCAGTACAGCCCCCACACAAATCAAGTGACTTGTGCGGCGCATATGTATCTGGTGCCTCCTTGTGCCAATATTTGTGTTCAAATAAATAATAATAAAATAAATAAATTTTGATGGTCGCTCTCATTAGTATGCTCTCTTTTGAATGAATACTGGAGAATATAGTTCATAAATATTACAGGGAATGAATTGAAATATAAGATTTGCTAATCCCATTAATTGTCAATAAATAAACATGAAGAAGAATACTTATAACAGAATAAATTCTAGTCAATGTTAATCATACAATGAGTGCATATTGTGAAAACTTTGTGTGACATGACTCAGAATCGATCACAATGGCGTCGGTGTATACACTTTCTGTCTTCCCTTAAACTAAGAGATTAAAATCGCTTCATATCTTTCCTTCTACGAACCAATTCTTTCTTCTTGTACTATATCTCTATATGCAATCTTTCTCTTATATATTACCACCTCTGAATTAACTAATTTTATGAATCTGGTGTTCATCTTTTTGTGTTAATAAGGTATGGCAAATTGGGACTGATGCATATGTGTGCCTGGTCCTACGTTGTAGCTGACTGACTGACTAAATTAAAATAAAATAATTGCCCATTAATTCATTGATTATTGATAAATGCAATAAATGTGCTCATTTGTTGGAGAAATTGAGTAACATTAGAATCATAGTAGCGCAGATGTATTCACGTTTCATCTTACTCAAGGTCCTCAGTTCAACCATTTCATCAAACATGCATTTTCATGTCATCTTATAAAACTATATTCTTAGTGTTCAACCTTTCTTACAATCAATCGTACAACAATTATTTCAACTACTTCAATACTATTATTACTACTACTACTTATGTTGATTTCATTCCATTATGTTGGTATGGTATAAAAACTTGAGTAGTGAAATAATTATGTCAGGGTCTGATACTGATTATCGCCATTTGACCTGAATTTCACTAATATTATCAACCTAAAACACTCCTATGAAAAATTAGTCATTTTTACATAGTACTAAACTTTAATAATAACACTTACATTGTCAACAGCATCTTTCCATGAGTTTAACATTTCTTTAGTTGGGACAATAGACATTTGTTGATCTTTACTTAAAGTAGATGATGATGATGATGATGATGATGAAGATTGAACAGATTTATCACAATGTTCACAATGACATATAAAGAAATATTGTTGTTGAAGAAGTGTTACACGTTGAACACTTGATGGATAATGTAAATAATGCGGGCCATAACAATGAAATACTTCAGTATTAGGTAGGATTGGTTTTAAGCAACGTAAAATTAAATATGAATTCTATGCATAGGATAAAGAAAAAAAGAGAAAAGTATGGATTAATTTTTGTTGGAAAATAGTTTCATTTTATATTTCAAATTAACATAATGTTACTCAAAATAATTTAGAGAATTTCAAATAGGATAGAGATGTTAGATCCTTAGAAATCACTTGGTAAAAGTCTCATTATGGTAAGTCAAATTTCTAATTCTCCAACTAAAAGCGTTCATTTTTATTTTCAGTTTGTATTTCCCACTTGGAAGGACATTAAATATCAATTATTTGTTTCCTCTTTAAGTACTCTACTTTGTGATATTTTTCAAGGACATTTTTGTGCTGTAGGTATACTCATGAATTGTGTGTTTGTTCGTTCGTGCTTCCGGTCTGCCCGACGAAAATATATATTTTCCTGGCTGAATCTGATTTTCTCTCTCTAGTTAGCACGGCTAGGGCGCAGTGCAATAGCTTAGCTTTTCTTATTGTTTTGTGTTGCTGACTTTTGTTCCGTTCGTCGGTCCTAGGTGATATTGTAATCCTCACGAATAGAGCGGGGTTGACTAGAATGAATTATTATGGTAATTTAGAGTTACAGTTCAACTGACAGACTGTATGCTTTTTTCAACAATATCGAAGAATAACATTTAACAATTATATTTATAGCTATGGTACACATGCATAACCATCGATAGCTTCAACGAAAAACAAAACTCCGACGTGATACTCTCTAAGAAATGACGAAATTGACTGAAAAAGAAGCATAGAATACAAAAATTATAAACACTTCTACATAGATGAGAATCTTAACATATGACTATTCTTAGGTTAATTCTTGATCTGATCTGTGAAATAATTTTATGATCAACTATTAAAATTGGCCGAAGTTGAAAATAGCAAATACTGGATGTCAACTCAATGGTCGTTTAAAATTGACATAGCGTGAAGTTTATACGTTCTAAAGGGTAGTAGGTGCTGAGGGATTGCAAACTATGTTGAGATAACTGCCAACTGCTTCCCGAAAGTCTAGCTAAAGTTAATTTACAGTGTAAAACATCTTCAAATTGAACAATCTCCACAAATCTCCCTTCATGTTGGAAGAAATAGTTAGTATGGGATTGTGGAGATTATGAAATTTTACTAAAATTATGACCCGATCAAGATTAAAACATCAATGGAAACCCGGAAGCACTGGGCGGTCGTTTCACTTCAGTATGGGAATCCTCGGCAGTGCGCATACACGACCCTGCAAGCAGGAATCGAACCGTTGGAAGCCGACTCAGTGGTTTGAAGGTTAAGGGTTCGTGAAAGTCCTGGGTTTGATCCCTGTGTGCGGGATGGTGGATGCACACTGCTGAGGATTCCTATACTCGAAAGAAACTGTGGTTCTGCGCTTTCAAGTTTTCGATGGTGGTCTAACTTATTTTGGCTCATGATTTCATTAAAAGAAATACTTTAACATTTAGTTCCTGAAAACTGTATTAAGGAAGAAATACTAATTATTAGTGGGCCAGTCAGTTATGAGCAATGTCAGACCTGAGACACATGTGTATTGGTTCAAGTTGCTACAACCAAACCAGTACAACGAGATGGAACTATCAGGAAAAATTTCACTATGATAGTAGAAGTGGGAAGAGTATCAATGATAGTAGAAAACACTGGGCTCAAAATCAAGAAGACAAAGAGTAAGTAGATTTATACCGTTTAAACCTATTCTGAGCCATTTCGTCCATCTCTAAACACTTGTCACTATAATCGCGAGGACCTCGCAACCAGGTAGTCTGCACCTAGTTACACGGCTCAGTCGAACAGCCCATGACTTCATAGAACTGATGTTAAATCTTAGTTTCATCACTCCATGGCTTTCTCCCAACTTACTCTTACACTAGCATACGTCACGATTATGGTTAGGCATCCGTAACATATTACTGCGTAATAATTACAAATACAACTACATAGCTTCAGTAAGTAATACTGTTTCAAAGATATTTCTTTCTCTCCCTCTCTCTCTCTGAACTCGACTTAAGGTATCGACATTAGAAAAGTAATTAAGAAACTTTTATCGCTCAATTAATATCGAATGCTTGCTTCTGTAACTGAAAAAAACTTGTTTCGAGTTCAACAAAAGACTACAGAGGGAAACTGAACTATCAGTCATTTAAGTTTGGATCTGATTTATATTGGGATTCTATGGAGATTCCGTGATGAAGTCTTAAGAAGCAAGGAAAAGCCAGAATGTACGCACCACAAAGATTTCCAGAAAGTTGATGGTTGTGTTAAACTCTGGGTAATTATTTACTTTGTTGCTTAATTTAGCATGTTTCCACAGTTTAAAAGCATTAAAAAAAACCTATAAATACAGTTGTCTTCTTTCCACAAATGAACTTTGAAGTAAAGTTTCAACTCTTACTTCGCGCCTTTTCTCTACTCGTTACGACTCAAATCTATGAGTACTTGGGGGATCTATGAACTGATAAGAAAGTAAATATCAAGCGTTTAAATAGCAGATATATCAATCTGTACCGAAGTTATGTCAGAAAAATGTAATGTTACGTCCAATAAGTTATATTTCAAGTGAACTACTCTATACAGTCCTTATTATGGATGAAAAAATAAGCGCGATGCGAATTAACGATGGCCTTTGGAAAAGAATATTACGTATTATATGTGCTCATTTGATATTCTAACACTTCGCTTTCTGCACAAAAACTCCATTATGATGCAAATCTGATATTTTATGAAATAGCTTTGAATCCATCAATATTGCAGATATATGCTTCGGTTACACAAGTAATAACTCAAGTGAAACATGAGTTCAATATCTTCTAATAATTACTTTTAGCCACACATAAAATGAAAACTTGATTTACTGTAAAATTGAGTCATTTTCTCTGTTAGCCTTATTCCAACTTGGTTTTTAGTAATTAGTTAGCAACACAAATGACTAGACAACCTGTTATTGGTTACTATTTTATGTAATCGGTTAGTATGTAAATATGGTGTCGATGATTTTGACATAGTGAAGAATATTTGTAGCTCAGGACGTTCTTTTTGTCTTTATTGTGTAAGGTGGTTGTCCGAGTCTGATACTTATATATACACGTCCTAGCAACTTGACTGAAAAAAACCAAGCTTCAGTACAAAGCTTTACTTGGCTAACCAGAATCAAAATATATACACAAAATAATTCATTAACATAGGTGCATCTCTCGGAAAATTTGGCCAGATCCTCAATAAACAATGTTTGTCTATCTTATTCTGAAAATTAGACTGAATATTGACCAATAATGAGTACCCGTCAGTATCTCTTACTTATCATTTGGCCTCAAAACTTATATATTCGATCAGCCCAGCCTATAAATCTTTCTAAACAAACACCACCACAGCAAACCTCAGATGGAATTGACCTATTTGAATTTCTGTACATATGAATGTCAGCTTGTTCTGTCCACTTTGAATTCAATTGGTTTTTGTTATTGACCACTCAGCTCATAAAAGGAAACTTCATCAAGTGTGTTGATAATCTATGATTATAAACTAGACTTCAGTAATAGAATTATATTTAAATCTCGATTAAATAAGATCGAATGTAATTGAGTAAATTTTCACATTTATCTTCTTCGTGTTATTATTAGTGGCTTTATTCAATATTCAATTTTTGGTACAATATGGAATTTGAACACATGAATATTGGTACAAGAGAGCGCCAATATATATGCGCCACACAAAACAATGAAAATTCGAAGAGAAGTAGAAAAAAACTAAGGAGCGCAAAAGAAAAAGAGAACAATAACGAAGATATTGGTGTAAGGTAGTGTCGTAGTAACGAGAGAACGAAAAGGTACAATCAGAAGAAATCTTTCAGGTAAGGGAGACACAACCACTTTTTATGAAGAAAGTAAAAGAAGATTACAGCAGGATCGCCATTGGCTTCTATTCTGAGCCATATCTGATAACGTCTCTAGCCACAGTGTAGCACCATCTCCCAGACCCCAACCAGGCAGTCGTGAAGGACCAACAGAAGCCAGTCCTTTGCAGCTTTCTTTCATACCACGACACCATGTCATGCACTGACCACCTCTCCGCTTCTTCCAACCAGTCCCAGAGTCGGCAAATAATGCACGACGTGGAATTCTCTGGGACGACATTCCTAGAACATGTCCAAGCCACCGAAGTCGGTGTTTCAAGATAGTGACACCATTTGAATTATCATCTCTGTGCCCGAACACACGATGCCGAACCTCTGCATTACTGACATGGTGTTGCCACTGAATGTCAGCAATCCTTCGGAGACAACGATGCTCGAACACAGAGAGTCGTCTAACATCCTCAACTCGGAGGCGCCAGGTTTCACAAGTATAGAGCAGAACTGCTCTCACCGACGCATTGTAGATCTGACCTTTTACAGCCAGACTAACATCACGAAGGCGCCAAAGGTGGCCCAGATTGGCATAAGCCGCTCTGGCTTTCACTATTCGTGCATTGATCTCATCACTCACACCCCCACCAGCACTTATGCAGCTACCCAGATACACGAACTTCTCGACTACTTCTATCTGCTCACCATCCAGGGTGAGTACAGGATTGCAATCCTGCCAGTCTTGTAGAAGTACTTTGCACTTCGAAGGTGCAAAGCACATACCATACCTACGGACACTGATTGCCAACTGATTAAGTGCGGATTGCATGCCTTGGGCATTATCGCACAGTAAGACAATATCGTCCGCATACTCAAGGTCGAGAAGTCTTTCTCCAGGCAACAGATCCACACCACCATTACTTACATTCATCAGAGCTGTTTCCACAATGTCATCGATGGCAAAGTTGAAGAGGAATGGTGAGATTGGGCAACCCTGCCTAACCCCACTGCTCGAATGGGACAATGGAGAAAGGTGGTTGTATGCCCTCACTCTGCCTGAGGTGTTTTTATATAGGGCTTTTAGGATGTTAATAAACTTCTCAGGCACACCCTTCTTCAATAGACAATCCCAGAGAACAGTCCTGTCCAACGAATCGAAGGCAGCCCTGATGTCAAGAAACACTACGATTGTTGGCCTTTGAAAAGTATGGCGGTGTTCTAACATTTGGCGGAGGGTGAAGATATGATCAATACATCCTCGATCAGAACGAAACCCAACCTGCTCCTCGCGAGTCAATCTTTCTCGGGTTTTGAACAACCTACGAAGTATGACGGAAGTCAATAGCTTGGACGCAATCGGAAGTAGACTTATCCCCCGATAGTTGTTACAGGAACGACGTGAACCCTTTTTAAAGATAGGGACAACTATCGACTCATTCCATGACGTTGGTACACTCTCTAGTTCTCAAACCTTTGTAAACAACGTCGTCAATTCCTTAGTCAAAAAGTCACCACCATCTTTAAAAAGAGCCGGAGGTAAGTCATCTGGGCCAGGTGATTTGTAACGCTTCAAGAGTTGGAGTTCCTTGCGGACTTCCTCCTCGATTGGTGGATCAGTCGTCACCGGCCATGGAGGGCAGGACAGTCTGACCGATGTTGCCGGAGCAGCAGGCCAGTTGAACTGCCCTTCGAAAAGTTCTGCCCACCGTCCAAGACGTCGATGGATGCTAGTGATTGGCATCCCATCATCCTCGCAGATTGTTTCACTCACACCAGACTTCGTGCTGCCAGAATTCTCAGCATAAAGTAGTTCATAAGTTTCCTTTTCTTATTTCTTGATCAATTCTTGCGTTAAATATTGAGTGGTTACCATATAGATGTTAGCACTTCAGAAATCGACATCTGAATAATGTATATTGTTTTCGATGCATATCGCCAGCAACCACGATGTCTCTGATTGAGCTCTTTTGTAAATTATACAGCGAAATGTCGTAAACTTTTCACAAAGGCACCTGAATAGAATATGATAGTATAGGCATAATGTGTTAAAACAAACAAGAAACAGATAACTTGTTGAAATATCCAGATGGTAGAAACAGGTAGCCCAGATATTCAAGCAGGCTGCCTTATCAAAGAAATCCTAAAACAAAATGACTGGCACTTAAGTAAACTGCATTCATAAGGGAAATTAATGATTTTTTCTTGATTACGTGCATATGTAATGTTTTCGAAAAATCAGTTTAGATTTCTAATTTATTTTAGACAAACTGAAAGAATGAATTATTCGGTAAAGAACTTGACTCTGAAACTACTATACGGCAGTTGAAATTCCACTGATATCCATATCTATTTTGGGCAATCGGATACCAGTATCATCAACTATCAAATAGCCGAGTGCATTAACCAGTATTCAGTAAGAAAGTTACATCAGAATTATTTTTTGGCGAATTATCATATTAACTATGGATCATAGACTAGTTTAAAACGACTATTCAGTGTTGTACTTCATTGATGAGAACCATCTTTCAGTAAATAATTACACCTTTAAGGGAATAACTGGAACAAGTTTGAGATCTATATCAAAATCCTTATTCAGAGGCAAAATACTTAAATGTTGAAATGGGGATAATCATGCATCAAAATTACGCTGTGTAAATTCAAAAGACCTTGATTATTTTGTTTTCAACTTGAAGATTCAATTGAAATTAGAATAACGGAATATATACAACTTCAAAGTGTGTTTCGAATATGTGTGTTAGAGGTGTTACACGTGCTTGGAAGTAGTATTCGACATGAAACCCTGTTGGTACTTATAGTAAGATGTACATGTGGTCTCAAGTTAATTGATACTGCCTTTAGGATTCGAACCAAGCTTCATAGGCTATGATGTTACCACCACTGAGACCGTGAATGACCCCTCCCTCTTGTAGTGTATCACAGTAAGGCATCTCATGACATAAAATCTTGGTTGCCATTCAACCGATATTAGTGCATGACGAGAATTATCCTGAGATTAAAACTTTGGTCATAGATTCACAAAGAATTCAACTAATTCAATTCTACAAAAATATGTTATTGACTAACTTGAAAATCATGAATGGTATTCGGATCGCATGAATGATTTAACAAGCTAACACATGGAAATAGGCCAGTTGCAATGCGAATTTGTTGCAATTTACAAATCAAAGGATAAATTAATTTCGGATCATTAACATCATTAACATTTATTTGATCCGAAGGGAGCCATGTTTGAATATCAGGATCATTGACCTGGATTTCAGTGATAGCGTGTGCATTACACTGAAGACGTCTTAACGTGTCGAAACACCAGAGACCTTGGATCAATTCATTGTTAGTCGATTGCAAATTTGTTTTATTATTATCATTATTATTATTATAGCTTAAAAGTTTCGATATTAACCAACCAGTAAGTGCATATTCGAATAATTCATCAACGTGAAAGTTTGTAAAATGTTCAATTAATTGATCAGTAGTAAAATATGAATTATTATCATTGATAATTTCGTCGGAAGATGAGTGATGATAGCGTTGACGAAGCCATGCGAGACGAAAGCATAAATGACCCAATCCAATGGAATTTAAAATAAACATAAATCTAGAAAATTTGTAATAATACGAAGAACAAAAAGAAAACGTAGTAAAAAGAGGTTAAATTATTTTTGAACAACACAAATTGAGACCATGCAAATCGAAGGACAGTAGTTTCGTCCAAGTATGAAGCTCCCCAGCAGTGAGCATCCACAAGTCTATCGAGGATGGAATCCAGGAACGTCAGGTATCGCAGCAGGAACTTAGTTTTCAAATTCGAAAGTTAGTATCTATTAGTTTATAATTTTAAGTTTGATTAATGAGCGGTAGAGTCCAACTATTTCAGGTGTGAGGTAGTTATCCACAAGCCTTCTGTATTAGCTAGGTTATTTTTATCAGTGCAAGAATTAGGCACTTTTACTTAAGATGGTATTCAATGACGATAATTTCTGAAATTCTTATCATTTGATAGCCAAGTACGTTGATTATCAGGGTTTAGGTGATTGGAAGTAGTCAATCCTGAGCCTAGACTTTGTGCTAACTGGTACTTGATATCAGGTCGAACCTGTGGTATTGAGAAAACTGATGATTCCTAGTGGGTTTGATCCCGTGAGACTCAGTTTTACAACCAGAGACATTATCACTGAGCCTTGTGATCAAAAATCTAATACAGTTAGAGTCGTGTATATGCAATACTTTCGAAGCTATACCTAAAGGACTCATTCATTTTTTGTTGGTTGTTTGAATCTTTTCGCTGATGTTTAGGATTGCAATTGATCAGTCTTTTATTGACATATTTGCATCTTATGCTCATTGTCTCGATGTTGCTTTCAGTCACAAGTATTTTAAACAGAGATGATGGTGGCTATCAATGGAACCGATGGTTCAAAAAACCAATTCAAAAATGAATTAAACTTCACCCTGTCGCATAAGCTATTGGCTATCTAGACTCAGCAGCTAAGTGGATAACATGATGGCGTTCGAAGCGGACGGTAGTGGGTTTGAGTCCCAGAGTGAACATCAGCCCTGGGATGCAATCACATCCGGCTGACGAGTCTCAAATAGGACGAGACGTGAGTCCTGGATTTTACTGGCAGCCACAATAATCTCTGCTTATGTAGGATTCACTATTCACGGTACGTATTTATATTGTTATAACGAACTTCTCTCATGAAGGAAATTATTTCTACTAGCTTCATAATTTTGGAAGTTCCCAACTCGACCAAGAATTGGGATCTTTATCACTGTAGTACTCAATTCGATCACAAGCATTGGATTCTTGATACCGTAGACCGATAATGACAAGGTTCAGATAAATCAATACAAGTGGAAACAACACAGAAGAACTGTATCCGTCAGTACCTCAAAAGTACAAACTCCCTAAGATAACCTCATCTACCTACCTGAATTGTTTTCGATAGTACCAGGCTTAACTTATATACTTGATACTGTTTAAATTCCGTTAACAGATCTGTCATATCCTTCTTGAGTATTATTTCTTCTGCTAGTTGTCACATCAGCTGCACCGAAATTACCGCAAACTGAGATTCAAGACGCACAATATTCATAAATTTTAATGTAGCTATTCCAGATTTGCCTAAGATGAAGCTACATTTCACTGTACTTACATTATACTCTATTCTCACATAACCGGTAGATCTATAGGAGATTTCTGAGGTGGCCAAAAACGAATGTAACAACTGTTGATCTATACTGACTAATTAAAAATTTAAACACCATAGAATTCTTAAGGATTAAACAATTTTAATTGCTCACACGTAGTCCTTCATCGACTGTTTCACCCCATCCACAATTTCGACAGCACAACTGTTGTAAAACCCTTTTAGGTGTAAGTGATGGTGGTGTTATGAATACAAACAGATCATATAAGGATGCAGCACATGATACAATGTCTATTTTCGTGATTGGGTGATCAGGAAGGCCTATGTCAAACAAAACACAATCAAGCTGAGTAAACTCACACAACCTCAAAGTCGTTTATAGACCTTTAAAACCCGGTATGCGAACTTAGCTGTCTGGTCAATCGTTCACAGGAATGCTAGCTAGAAAAGCGTGACAATTATCAGCCAGTTTGTGAAGTTAGAAACCACCAAAAGCTGTCAATTCGCCTACTCGGTGGCCACAGCAAGTGTCTATACCGAAAATAGACAACTGTCGGAGTAAAATCTTTCTTTTAGTGTAGTTCGCGTACTTTTATTGAACACATCTTGGGGATCAACGGCTATGAATCTGAGAACAAAGGTTGCGCAGAATGCTAAAGACATAGCTCCAAAGTGATGTGCTCTGACAAATATAAATTAGTAAGGGAATTGAACTTATCTCCGACATACTTGAGGAAACCAAATTCCTTTATGTCCTCTTCGTGCAGGTGTACTTGAAGAAACATTTCTTCAATATCTACTGATAATACTGTTTTATGTTTCTTGAATCAGAGGAAAACACCTGCCAGATCATTTGTAAGATCAGGCCCGGTATTTTTACACCAATTCAGTGATATATCTCTTGATTTGGCAGCACAATCAAATACAAAACGAGCGTTTCTTGATCATTTAGAGTTCAGTACAAGATGATGTAAGATAAACTACCGTTCTTCATCAATGATCTTCAGCACCCAGGATAACCACACTTTGCTCTCAATGCGACGAGTATACTAGTATACGGTCCAAGTTGGTGTTCATATCTCAAAAACCTTTCGCGCAGGAAGTCTTGTCGTCTCCTGCTTCTCGTTTATTCTTTGATAGAGAGTATCAGTCTATTCATCAGGGTAACAAGGCACTTGATAGTGGCCATTATGTAGTATCGTACGTCTACCAGTAGTTTGTAGAATTTATTTATCACATGTTGACATTTCAGTCTCTCTAGAGTGTTGGTTTTCTGGAAACTCGTGCTCGAACATGTTGGTAATGTTGACTTCGATAGATTCGCTTTTTTAAAACAATACAGCCATGGATGTAGGCTGCCGACAGGTTATTGCTCGATGATTATGCTTTAGACGACAAAAATTCCTGCGCGAAAGGTTTTTGAAATATGAACATCAAATTGGACCGTGTACTAGTATACTCGTCGCATTGAGAGCAAAGTGTGCTTACTCTGAAGTCTGTTGATACAGAGACAAATAATCGTGTAAGTACCAGTGATACTAACCGACTGCTAAGACCGAATTAAGCGGAGCGACACAATGATATGTGACCAAATGGTTGAATATTAGAAACGTTTGTGCACTAAGCGAATGTTCATACATTTGATAATAGTAATCTTACCTTGGACTAATTCTTCGACCCCTTTTTTCGAATCGTCTGTAAAATATGTGTATTATGACTGTATTACTTATAAGTAACTAGTTTTCTTGTCGCATAATTTCTTTCCTGCATTTTATTGGATGATACACTTTTTATTTGTCCAGTCATATCGAACTGATGGTTAACCAGTTAGTCTTTTGTGACTGTTGTTATATATATATATATATTCCTGCGAATCCAAAATAGTCTTCTGACTTTAACCGACTTTTGAGGAGTTATTCTAATCAACCTAAAATTACTCGTACACAAGGTAAAACAAGACGAGCAAACAAAACTTACCGACATTCTGCCAGATGCCAAGCAGGTTGTTGAAAATCACGAAATAAGTATGAAGGATTTGAAATTTTTGCGCAGTAAGAATTACAACTAGTCCTATTTGACAATTCACAATACGCAGCATCACAACAGTACGGACAGACAAAACCAACGGAGTTTAGTTGATTAAAACATTTCAAACATTGATTCATCCGTTGTGATGGTAGAAGTAGTAAATATTCAAATGTGTTACGATTATTATTATCATTATCATAAGAGTGTGCATTTCTGTTTGCTGCCCATCCACCAGCAGGCTCAACCGCTATAATATCGCCTGGTTCAAAGGATTCAGTAGCGATGATATGTCTGCCTTTTTCATGATTTGTATCAATACGTACACCGTTTGAAAGCCCATGGTACTACAATAATAATAATAATAATAATAATAATAATAATAATAATAATAATAATAATAATAATAATAATATGTATGAAACTAGGGATTTGTAACTGGCTAAACCTACTTTGATTCATTGTTAAGTAATAGTGACCAATGTTATCTTCGCCTAATCCTCTAAGTGGTGATCGAATTCAATCGGTCAAATTGTAATGTGACCACCACTAGTCTAAGTGACTTGATATCGAATATAATATGTGTCTTGACTCTTTTAATGCTACTTTTTATATGTGGTCGTCGCCGATTGTTATGCCGGAAACGCTTATCACTTATACTCGAAACGAGGGACCTCAGCAATTCCCACGACGCGGAAGTAAGAACACAAGACTGGTATAAGTGAAGATTTATTAACGCAAAAACACGACGACGACGATGACGGTGTAAGAACTGTCCACGAGTGAATTCGAGGAGGTTGTAAGAAGCTCAGAAAGAACTGAAGATATTCCATTTAATCATCTTTTGGAAGAATATTTTAGAATCTCTACATGTAGCTTCCCGATTGGATAATGCTAATAATCCCCAGTGTGCGGATTAGATAGCTATAATGATTTCGTTTTTACTAAAAATTATGAATACCTGACAGTTTTGTACTACAATTTGACACTGTTTGGAATAACATTCCTTTCACTAGTCTTCGGTATTTTCATTGCGACTTGGAAAGGTTCTAGAGTTCTAGTGCTCAAGTTATACGCGTCATATCAAGAATATAAGCTCTAGATATAACAATTGGCGACGGGGGTTTCGGAAAAAATTGAAAAGATATGACAATATGTTAAGATCTTAGTTGGTTCGAGGTAGTTGGCAAGAAACCATGAATCTAGGTTTTTTTGCTAGTAAGCGCTTGTCACCAAGGCGAACCTGAACTCTTGAGGGAACTGATTTTGCCCGTGGGTCTCGAACCTGTCGCCTAGATTCACAGTATAAGATGTCATCATTCAGGCCGTAACTGACTTTTAGTACGGCTAAGATATTTACGTTGATTGATTACTGAGTAGCTATTTTAACACTTAAAAACCAATACTAACTAGGGAATCAGTGTGAACTAAGTCTCAGAGCATTGAGTATGAGTTTCATTCTGTTTAAGGACTTGTCAGTTGTATAAACGCACCCCGAAAACACAAGATACAACTCAATATTCTTCAAGTCTCTTATCGAGTACGATGCGCTTAGACGTCATGAGCCAAATACAATCATTACCGTTTTCCAAATCCGATTACATATCTAATAAAGTGCAATTCTTAACCAACGTCATAGCCCCACATCAGAGTCTCTTAAAATCATTCCTCACCATTCCCTGGATATTCGTGTTTCAGCATCATTCCAATAATTCTATTTTGTGAAGTCGTTCCCTCCTTTCTGAACCATATACTGGTTAAGCTATTATCACTGTGACACCTGGGTTTTATCACTGGTGAGGTCTTGGGTATGCACTGATGAAGAGTTCCATGTTAGGACGGAACAGCTATTTAGTTACCCTGATTTTTAATGGTATCTCAACCGGAATAAATGTGGAAAATACTTTCAGCATTGTCTTTATGTTTGATATTTCTTACTATCACTAATGTACTGATTATATTGGGGTTTTTTACTGTTCATCTTGTTAAGTTTACCCCGTTGTGGTGTATGATGTGACTATCAAAGTTAATAAACATACTTAAACAATAAACTATATTAAACCGCTAAGTTTTTACTAAATACACTAAATCTTTTTAAAACTTACCAAAAGGTTATGATCGTATTTTGGTGTTGGGATATCCCAATGGTTCTTTACATTGTTTTTATTCTCATTATTAAGTAAAGAGATAAGCTTGGTATGAATTTCCAGTAATTTGTATGATGTAAGTGTAGAGTTCCATTCAATAAGTGTAGGTAAATTTAAATGTTTACAACATTGATCGAAACGAGTTTTTAAGCGAATTACTGGTGAATTATTACTACAATTCTGAATATTTGTCACATTCAAGTGTAATTCCAATGCAGTTAGTACAGATTCTAAACAAGATGACCATAATTGTTGATGTGCAAGTACAACAGATAAATTACCGTGCAACAATGCACCTTCTAAACAAAATTCATCATTTTGACTAGTCGATGACATGAAATATGCATTAGGTGCATGAAGTAAACCAGTTCGATAAGCTGTTGCTGAAGCATTCAAGTTACCTTGCCTGGAAATATAGAAATAAGATATCAAAAGATATATTATATATATATATATATATATATATATATACGGCCGAGAGTGGGGAGAGCCAGCTCTCCCTCACGAAATGTTTCCACATAGCCACATGCATATAACCACTGTCCGGGAAGTCCTACTCATTGTCTTCTCGTGGCAGTAGTGTTGTTTACGACATCGAGAGGATGAAAAGGGAATGTCTGGCACTCTAAAAGGGATGGTGGATATGGAGGATCTATCTAGTAGAGTTGGAAAACCCTGATTCCAAACCAATGGTGTACATGAGCTCCAGTATCCTGAAGGAACAAATGGCGTATGAACCAATTGTTGGTCACCGGCTACCATGGGACTGCATCTCCTCATGTTGCTCCACTGCCTTTTGGATCAGACTCTCAAGTCGAAGGCTCCGGGTGTGGTCCCCCTAAGAGAACCACCTGCTTCGGTTTGAGCACCTGGGTAGTAATTCCAATCCTCACATAAATCAAACGATTTATGTAATGCCTTCTTGTACCAATGTTTATGTATTTAAACAAACATGTGCTCACTAGTGACTAGCTTCGTGAGGGAATTCTCGGAGTTCTAGTGAGAAGCCGTGATCAGTGGAGCTAATCCATGTCGGGTAGAGACAGGTATCTACCTCAGTACAATGGAAGTTGGTCGCGCAATTTCGTGGATTGATTGATGTTAGACACTATCACCACTGGATACCGGCTCAGTGGTCCAGTAGGTTAAGCGTTCGCGCGCGAGACCGAAAGCCCTGGGTTCGAATCCCGCGAGCGGGATCGTGGATGCGCACTGCTGAGGAGTCCCGCAATAGGACGAAACGGCCTTCCAGTGCTTCCAGGTTTCCAAAGGTGGTCTAACATCAATCGGTTCATGATCTCAATCAAAAACATAATAATCTCTACAACCCCTATACTAGAAATAAATAATAGTAATTATATGTATATATATATATATATACATAAGAAACATACTTGAATAAATCATTTCCTAATTTTCTATAATGTTGAGCTTTTTTAGTACTTTTCATACAAATATTACCTTTGTCAAATTCATTTATAAAAGATATGATACGACGTAAATCATTTGTTGCATTCTCATTAATATAATTAACAATACGATAATAAAATGAAGCAGATAATTGTGTAGAATTAGCTTGTAATGCTAATTTCTTAATTTGATCATCATTATGAATATTTTGTTTATTTAATAAATGAGTAAATAATTTAGGATTATTTTGTACATAATTTAATTCATTAGAGATTAATCTTGTCCAAATTGTACTAACATTATTGAATTCAATGGATTTAATATGATGATGATCAATATCAGTATCCATTATAATATCTTAAACAGTGAATTCATTACACTGATACACCTTGAACACACGGCTGAAATCAATGAAAGAAAATTTTAAAAAAAAGATAAGTTATGTAATTATTAGTAATATGATAAGATGTGACCTTTTTCTCTTAAGCTTAACTTTCTAGCCAATAGTTTCAGTTTTTATTCCATAGGATTGAATTAAAAATATTCAATGGCTACCAAGATAACTAAATTCAACAGTCAATAGTCTGATAGATTAGTATGTTGTGTAGTGTTTAGTGATGGCTAGATAATATTGACCAAGTTGTAGTAAAATCTAAACAGTTTAACATTAGTTTCAATAGTTGAGATTATGAGTCAATTGAAGCTAGATCACTATGGAAAACCTGGAAGCACTGGACGGCCATTTCGTCTTAGTATGGGACTCCTCAGCAGTGCGCATCCACGATCCCCCCCCCGCGAGATTCCAACTCGGGACTTATTAGTCTCGCGCGCGAGCGCTTAACCATTAGACCACTGAGCTGGCCGGCATTCAACGATGTTAGTGTCTAACTTCAACCAATCCACAAAATTGCGCCACCGTACATCATTGTCTACAGTGAGCTGATATCTCACAACAGACCTGGTTGAACTCCATTGGTCATTGCTTCTCACTAGAACTCCAGGAAATGCCTCTTGAAGTCAGTCACTAGTGAGATAATTATTATCATAAGGGGTTTTGTGAAGATTTTAGAAATTTCAATAGTTGAAATCATGAGTCAATTGAAGCTAGACCACCATGGAAAACCTGGAGGCACATGAAATCTCCACAAAACCCCTTCTGACAAGTTCAACATCAGGTTAAGATTTTGTCTGAATTTAGGTTACTGTTTACAGTTAATAGCAGGCCCTATATATTTAGGTTTCGTGTTAACTGGTAAACTGATCAGTAAAATAAACCTTTTCTAACAAGACCTAACTAGGAAAGAACTTGGGTATGAAGATTTTTGTTAATCATTTTTAATTATTTAACACCAAACACTAAGCTTATAAGTTGTTAGGAGTAGTTAAAACTCAAAGAGGAAATAATCATAGGATTACTTAAGACATAGTTCAAATCTAAACAGAATTGTAAACGAGAATGTTAGTCTATGAATTTAAACGATAAAGTATGTTGTCGGTGTTCGTATTCTACAAAGTCACTGAGGTTTAATAGCTATCACTGAGGAAATAATAAGTAACTTTATAAAGGTGACATAAGCCTATCAGATAGCTTGAAAAGAGATGACAAATATATATTACCATCACCAAAATTAACTCATTTATCAGGTAATTAGGTGTAAGCCACACTCCAAGTGTGAGGGTTAATTATACTGCCAAGTTGGCTAAAAAGTAGTAAGAAGAGCGGGGTTCGGAATTGGGACCTAAAGATCAGAAGTCAAATGCTTTACCCATTGAGCGACAACTCAGAATGCAAACTGAGTCGTTGAAATTTTCTTTCCAAAAGTAGATATATCGATGGAAGCTTATCAGTAAGCTTAGTAGTTATATGTATCTAGTCTGATTTTAATGTTAACCGATTACCTCGAATATAGTTGTACATAGTCGGCTTTGAGCTGCATGTTTTTAAATAAGGGTTAGAAATAGTGTCATGAAATGCAAATCTAGTTACTTATATGTACTCGAAGTCGAGTTATGAATCATACTGTCTACAAACTATGGGCCAAATGAAGCTTAAATCATTTCTTGACGATTTCTTTCAGTAATTCATCTATAAGTACAGAAATAGATGAGTAAAGTAATATTATGTCTTCTTAGGAACATGACTGAAATTCCGTCTAAAAATATAACCAACAGAACACAATTTATCTCAGATAACTGATAGATTGTTATTGATTGAAATTAGACATATGGATTATTGGTTGGTGACTTCATGGCCTAAGAGCTAATACGCTTAGTGTGAGGCATGGAGGTTTTGGGTCCGACCCTGGTGGGGCATAGAATACGTGCCGTTGAGGAACCCCAATGCTAGGACGAAACAGTTACCGAGTGTTTCCTAGTTTTCACTGATTATCAAACTAAGATCAGTTCATGATGCAAACTTTAACACATGTTCAATTGTGGAACAGTATTGAAATTTTAACATGATATTAGAAAGTCTTTATAGCTCAGAAAAGGTCTATTATTACAGGTAAAATGTTAAAAGAAATATGCTGAAAATAATAAATGAAAACGAATTCGGATTCTTTCAGGAAATTCTTAAACAGTAGAAATGCATTTAGATGTAATTCGAGCAGCATTATGGTTAAGTAATAATGAGATTATAAGAACTAATCTAATAAACGAGTTTGTACGATATGTAAAGTAGTCTCTTAAGTATGCATTCAGAGCACTTGTATAAATTTTCTTTGTATCAATTTAATTTCTTTTCCCTAACTGGGTTAATTTTAACCCAATTATGTTGTTCAACTGTGTAATCGGTTATTTCTATTATTAGTATAATTACTTGTAATGTACCCTTCAATATTTTGTACAAATAAAGTTTCAGCATACTAAGTATTGATTAAAACCACTATGAATATTATATTGAATGTTTTCTCTCGCATGAGAAACTTTAGGCTTGATTTGTCAGGAACGCTCCCAAATTTTAGTGTGTTGTATCCAGCAGTTTCAGTAATTTTGTTCATTTAATGGGTAAGTACTGAAGGTTACGATCGTAAATTTCATTTCAAGTCCCAACTTTCATTAAGGTTGTACTCTCTTGTATGTGGGAATCGAACTGTTGGATACAAGTTCAGTGGTCTAGAGGTTAAGCATTCGTGAGTGGGGTAGTGGACGTGCACTACTGAGGAGTCCCAAGCCAGGACAAAACGGCCTTCCAGGTTTGCAATAGTGGTCTGATTTCAGTGGTAATTATATCTTTCTGAGATGAACTGTTCGGTGAAATTATATCTTAATATATGGCACTGAGCAAGTGGACGGAAAAATGATTGGAAGCACTGGGTAAGATGTACTTAGTGAACACAGGAAACGTAGATAAACTTAGTCAAGTTTTCTATCCAGTTTCAAACATACATCTCGACTCTATTAAATAAAGCACTAGTAAACTTTTTTGAAGCCTTATTATTCACTGTAACCTGAATTGTTTGTAGCTTATTGAAACCCAGAAAAGTAAAATGAATTCATTTCTCCACTTGCAAACGTTATTGTTTTTGATCTAATAAAAATTATTAGAGGAAAGAACTGTATGAAGGCTTAACGACTATTTAGTTTTTCTTTAAGCTTGCAGATTTGCAAAAGAAGCTATTGCTAAGAAAACGACAGAATCCAACATTAGGTGACCGGAGAAAGTTACGAAATCCCTAGGTTTTCAATAAACTGAGACTCGTCAACAAAGGGTATCTGAAATCTTCAGTAAACTGATGCGCCCGGTGAGACAATAAATCATAGTACTCAATGTCAAAATTAGAGACAGACTGATAGGCATATAGTAACTGGCTAGATAAAATTTAATTAGTACTAAGTAAACAAACATTACATGGGTTACCATTCAGCGATTAATATATGTAAATAAGATGGGATAATAGATTGAAGGAAAGGTAAGTGATACGGTAGATCTATCGCAAAAATGCAGACGTACTCGTTCTTCAGTTTCCTCCAAAGCTTGAGTTTTATACTCTAATCCCTTGCTCCATTTCTTTTTTAACTGTATAATATGTACTATTATTAGTAAGGGTTTAAATAATCCTATATTACTATTCAGGACTGGATTCCGACCAATCTTTTCTGGCATATATACTTCCTGGGAGTATTGTCTCCATACATTTAGAGTGAAAGTAATTGAATTCTTATCTCAACGGGAATATTAACACTGATATACAGGCACATTCAAATGACTAGTGGCAAGTAAAAAAAACGCGCATCCTGATTTCCACTATAAGCAACAATCCGTATATCCTATAAAAGCATCAATCTCTACGTTTAGCCTTTCTTATTAACATTGGAACTACTATTATGTCAATACCTTCGCTATCCATATTGTTAGTCACATCCAATTACGCTGTGATGTGAAATTGAGCCGATAGGTATTTTCCCCAGGTTTTACCTTGATTATGTCTGAGTTCTTAAAAGGATAATGATCTGTTGGGGAGACTCAAAATTTAGTTGTTTTTATATTTCAAAACTAAACATTGTGGCTCTAAGGTACCTATCAAATAGTGAAAATATGAACGATCATTTTACTGGAATTCAACTCATTGATAACAAAACCTTAAAATGTTCGACATTATTCAAACAAAAATCGTTGCATTGCCAAAAGAGTAATAATATTTTATAATTTAAGTGTATACGATAACCTACAATTCACTTTTTGTCTTCCCTTGAATCATAAGTTTTTAAATCCCTCACAAATTTCTTTCGCCATTTTACTGATTTATATTTTCTTTTAAAATTGTGTCTTCGGTGCCTAATTCATTCTGTTACTGCTAAAACGGTTATTATCTATACTACTCTGGGATCTTCTCTGACAATTTTATCTCGCTGTGCTAATAAAGTATGAGAACTTAGAAAAAATGTATACATGTTCCAGATTCCACGTTGCGTTTGACTGACTGAGAGTTTGTTCTGTAAGAGTACATCTATGAATCAACATCTTCATTCAAACAATTTTCTAAATACTTCATCTCAGGTTCCGTGTTAATAATAACGTATTTCAGAGGTTAACTGAATACGGATATCATATCTTATGATTTAAATGGTACACATAATGACCACTAAGTTGTATAATGCATTTGGACATTAATTTTTTGGAAACAATCTTAACATAAACGCATAATTATCCTTCACGAATTTGAATAGACACCATGAAGTAATGCAATTACATGTTATTGTACAGCTAATCAAATAATCATTTATGAACCGATATATAATATATACATGATTCGTTCTTTAGGAGTATGATCGAGTTGTACATGTATGCTCTGCTAATGAACAAATTAAGTTAAATAGGACAGACCCAACTAATCTATAGTTTCATAATAAACAGATGGTGTAACAAATCAGATGAAAATGTGGTATATCAATAAATGTAACCTAACGGAACCAAAAAAATAACAATGAAAAATATCAACATGCCAATTAAAAACTGACTATTACAGTAAAATGCAGAAGGAGCAAGTTTCAGAAAATAATGTTTCTTTTATTTAATTTTTCTGATATTAATATTATATACAATATACATAAAGTTATCTTAAGATGATGATAACTAATGAGGTTGTGGAATATGTCCATCAACATAGAAATTTCTTGTAGCCTTTGGCAAAGTGATTGTCATTCCATTTAATTCTTTGGTCAGCACTATTTGGCAGGCTAAATGAAATAGATAATAAAACTCTTTAAGATGAAAGAGTTGCACACAAAGATATACTAACTATATAAGATCAATTTAAATATACGCATTTAAATTCAAATAACTGTATAATTAAAATGTTAGATAGTAAAGAGGCTTGGAAACCGAGTATAATTAGTAGAACTATGCGCAACGATCTAAAACTATTGGATGAATGTCGGTCGAATCGAAATTAAACTCGACATGTCCTTGAGATCAATAAATTTAGCCATATGTAAACTCAGTCCTTGGTCACCAACTAGAAACTAGAGCTAACCTGTAAACATTTGATAGGTTGCTAAACTGCTAACACAGCACTAATTAAAGATATCCCTGTGAATATTCATTTGCAAGTAGTGACAGCTATCATTCAATACTCAGGAGGTTGCTTTACACCTAGAATTCAGCCCAAAATCTTGTTAAGTTAATGCACTAAAATAATCTTAACTACATTTAAGGACCAATAATACACAGACTATGAGTGAAACATCGCGACCATTAGACGCCAACACATCTGTCGCGAGACTGAAGGCAGAACTAGTAATATTTGAAATTAGTAGGATGGGATTTTATACGAGACATTTTCATAATATTTCCGCGTTATGAATGGTCAGATATATTATTTAAGTGATCTATTTGAGCACATTTCACATGGTCTTCTTAATGACACCAAATTTGAAGTGGAGAACTGAAGCACAAATCAACTATATTTTCTGGATGAATGTTTTAAAAAAGAGAATAAAGGTCGTCAGGAGTTTACTTATCAGCTATTATACCTCTTTTAATAAGCAATAGGCAAACAAACGAAGCAGAACACTAATAACCCAATATTTATGTACCATGTTGTTGAATGGGAGCTAAAGTGGACTTATGGAAGCTGACTAGCATTAAATATTGATTACCAGCAATATTACTCATGGATAAGAAGATAAACAGAATTATTACCCTCATAGGAGACCAATAGCACATTCTTTATCAGATTAGACAGGCACTCTTTTTATTCTGCACGTATGTTAAATTAGACTAGATGATATATATCACTACTTGTACAAATAAACCTATTTGTATGATTCTACACATACAATAATTAAAGAGAAACCCCCAGTAAGGTGTCTGTTATCTGTTTATCATCGGTTATAAGATAACCATAAGAAACCTAGAAAAAATTAGTAATAATTAGAGGGATAGGAAGTCACGTGAAAATAAGACCTGTGTTGTTGATGAGGCAGTAGGTTAGAAGAAAGCTAGCAGTGACCGAACCAAGACATGGCATCAGTAGATGAGGTCAGTAGCTGTTGGTCTGAACCATGTTGGTAAATGTAGATTACCTGGTTGAAATCTGCTTGAAGACTGGGTGATTTGGCTCAGAATCGCTCATCATGGGGCAGATGCACCCACAATTTATCTTTTTGTCGATTGGGAATTTCAGTGTTCCTTCACACAAACCCTTCAATTCTGTCTTTCCGAATTATACGCATATTATTACGTCCTCACTATTGATGACATTACATTATCTTAATCTCTTACCATTTATGGTGCTATTTTTGTCTAGTTGTGCTAATGTAGTATGGCAACTAGGGCCGGCGCACATGTCTCAGATTTTAAGTTGGTAATGACTGACTGTCTGAAAATATTGCACTTATATTTCAAGAAAAAAGTCCAGTTACACAACATGACTTTTTTTTACAGTAAAATAAAGTCAATAACCCAATATTTTATTGGTATTTACGTTGACCTGGTTGTATTGTCATGGTATTTTTCTTTAATTCGATTATTTGAACTTGGATAACTTTTATTATATTAGTGCAGTAAACAGCACTTTCATATATTCCTAAAATTTTTAACGTAATTTAATAACCAAGACCAGGTTTATATAATGGAGTTTAAAGCTGGTGACACAAGGCTACTCAAAAGAAAGTGGAGCGATGTTTGGATTTGTAGTCCAGTAGTTAAGAGTTAATATTTTTAGAAATTAACTATGCTATCACTATACGTATTATTACCAGTTTTAGAACTTTCTTCCCGACAACAGCAAACATCTGATATATTGAGCTCATTGAACCAAACAAGTTTTGACACTTTCGGTTTATTTCAATAATCTTATTTACACTCGAATTTGTTTGTACCTTGAAGATAGTTGTTGGGTGAATTAAGTTTACTTAATTCTGCTAATTAGACTTCGCTTGTCTTCACAAAATATATATTGAGTTACGTGTATACAAAAAACAGAACTGATGAAGTAACCCAACATTCAGTAATGTTGTCTTTACTATATTACCGCGTGATTATTAATTATTTACATGCATTTATATACTACAAGATAACTGCTAGTGTGAAAATATCGTTAAACTTTTGATCTTGCAACAAAGTCTCTATGTACACAACAAGTATGGAAATATCTTTGATTGCCAAAACCCTAAATAGTTAAATTTGAGGCCGTAGGTTTCAAAAAATGTCACAACTTAAATGTATTACTAGGTGGTAATAACAGTGGTCAGACGGATTTTTATCCGTGCAGACAATGTAATCAGAAAGACAAATATGAAACAACCCGAACCACTATTGGGAAAAAGGATATTTACGTGTAACTTACATAACCTAGAGTTTTCTTGTAGGAAAACAGCTAAATCTAACATATCTTCCTCCCCCTCAGAAGCAGGTGGGAGCAGATCATAAAATTTTTGATCAATATAGACATGGCAAGTGGAACATGCCAGAGAACCCTCACAAGCTCCCTCTATTTCAATATTATGCCGGCGGGCCAGTACCATCAAATTATCTCCAACTTCTCCTTCAAGATGTCTGATGTTACCATTTCGATCAACAAATCGAACATTTACTCTAAAATTAAACATTAAAATACATAATATATTTAGAGTTACGTTTTGGAAGCAGGGGTGGAGTTTTCATTAAACTTTCTTATTGAGTCTATTAAACCTATAAAATGAAAAGCTTCTTACGGTTCAGAAATAAAGGTTTGAGATAACGTCTGAATGAATTCAAATGATGGAAGAACTGTACATTACGCAAAACATGGGACATTTTAATCACACTGACAGAAACTGGACGACTGATCCAGCCAACTTTCTACAAAATCTTTTCCAATGATAGCGAAAATTGTGCTAATTTGTTGAGGCTGAAATTACTAGAAAAATGAAATTGAAAGTTACGACACATCCATATTTATCAAAGCAAACTTAGGAAAACAGTGTAACAATGAGAATAGGCTAACGCTTAGTAAACCTATAACAAAATTGGTAACCTGGTGGTTTATAAAGCGCTTCCCAGTTGCGTTAAATAAAGAACTTTCTTGTAAAAAGTAATTATAAGTAACCTTACAAAATGCGCCTTTTGTTTGTAAAGGACCGATGGGAAGAAATACAACAGATCAAGTCTACATGAATAGTTTGTCAACTACATAATTATGCAAGGGCTCTACAAAACCTGGTTCCCAAACCAGAATAACTACACGAATCGGACTATGGACCAATAAAACGGTCAGAATGAATCGAGAGAATAGACAAAAACGAAAATAATAAGATTTATAATACCTAAAAATGTGTGAAAAAAACATGTACAAATGTGGCTGGTTCCTGGACATTATCAGTAACTCAAACTTGATGAGAAAAGTTAGGCTTAAAAAACGGAAAACGACTTGATGGACAGGCAAAATACTTTGTCTTGTGGCTATGGAACATTATTTATCCCACTCTAGCCAATAAAAGCGATGTGATGAAGAAAAGCACATATTTCTTACATAGTGTGTGTGTCCATGCAGCAGTCGTGGGATTTAGTTTGAGCAATTGTTATCATGTCGAGATTGCCTGTGTGAGGCCAGTGACACAACTGCTATTCTATTATTAAGAACCCAATAACAATTAGATAATGGCTGAGATTAATATCTAACGACTATTGGTTCAGGATCCCAGTCTCTTACGTTAGTTGGTTAGCCCGACAGCCGAGACAGAACAACACAGAACGGATTCTATTTGTGCAGTTCCGCTTCATAAAACGATTCATATGACATTATACAATAGGTTTATGGTCACATAATCGGAAAATTAAGGAATTACAATATAGGCAATACCACGTCATACGTGGAAGGAAAATAAATGACGAGTTGGTGATTATTTAACACTAACTTCGGAAAGGCGAAGTACACACATTTGTAAGCTCAAAAAAGTTTATTTCTATGATTTCCTTGTATTATAGTTGGGATCAGTTCATCATATGATCACTAACTTATAACTATAACTTCAGATTTTAATATCCAACCCTATTAGGACTTTAGAAGCAGAAAAAATCAGTTCATTGAAAGATGAAAAAGGATCCCTAATTTGCTAATTATACACTTAAATGCTGCCTATGTTGCAGAACTCAGTTTATAACATACTCTTCAAAAACCGTGACAAAGTAACGCACAAATTTAGGCTATGAGCATTTATATCCTATATCCAATATCTTTATCGCAAGCATGTGTAAACCGATTGATTTAATTCAGCTCTCTTCTTCGTGATTTAGTATGGCCTCAGATATTTGTTAATGTCTACTGGATGCCATTATAGCATCTCGATTGCATTAACTCCATTCCTTTACGTGGTTACTTGTGGATATGTAAATTTTGTAGTTGAGTGCGAGCGTTTTTCTCAGGGCAGTACGGTTTCCAGATACTAGCAGCTGTCACATTACCAGGTAGAACGTTAGTTGATTGCAATGTGAAAATAATAAAGTGATAATTCATTGGCTAATAGAAGACCATTGATTAATGGATAGATAAATCGTTGATTAATTGATAGTCGTGTAGTGGTAAATAAATCCCCAAAATAAATAGCCCTGTAAGTCTTCGACATTGGATGCCAAACACATCATTTTTAATGGACTCGCCTAGCTAAAAGCGCTCTGTCATGCATCCATGCATCCCACGAGTGGGAACGTCTTGTTCAACATCCCTTGCAATCGTCAGCCAGTATAGATCAATTGATCCTCGATATTAATAACCTATCAAATACATCTTCAAAAGCTTCTGCCTTTTATTTCCTTTGGTAGGTTCGATTCATATTAGGTGTCACTGGTTAAGGTGTTGTCAAACTCCGAATACCTGTGGCATTTTCAATCCAGATGCAGTTTTATTTGGAAGGTACAGGAGGTTGGATGTTCTGTGTTATACCTAGTAATGGTGATCTCTCAGTTGATCTAATTTTCTTTTGAATGCGTAGATGGAGCTCCAATCACGTGTTTAGATGATGAATTCCAACGGTTGGTGACTCGATAGGAAAGTCGATATTTAGCTGTCTAGTTTAATTAAGATACGTGATATCGCCCAGTCGAAATTAAAACAACGTTAATGAGTGAATGTGGGTCCTAAATTTCATTATAAATTTAAATGTACACTATAACCGAGAAAAATACTATTGCCCTGTTATTCAACCAATAATCGTTCAGCCAGTAGTCAAGTCTAAGTTACACTACATAGTTAAACTGATAGAAGATATGTAATAATTGCCAAGTGCGAAAACAAAATGTTCCTACTGTAGGGCCAGCGAAATGTCACTAAGCCCTAGCCAAATCATCCGGCAGTTGGGTCACTGAATATCGAGCAAATTATCGATCCTCGTCAAGGTCAGGGACAACCAACGCGCACCAGTTAATCGTATACCATGGACTGGCCCATGCTACAGTGGTCTTACTTTCGATTGTATCTACTTTAACTAATATATTTCTGTAATAACGTCCTCTGTATTGTACAGTCTTCAAAGCGTCTATGGTACCTTGATGCGTCAATGGGGTAGTCCACGTAAGGTACTGACCATGAGGTGTGACTTCGACGTTAGCTGGTTTGTCACACTATTCACGTCTAACTCGAGTAGGCCTCCAATCACTTTCGATATAGATCATCTACGTTGGTGATCTACACCACCAACATAGAAATGTTGCTCCATACTTTCTAGACAGATTGTTTGCAAGATAACATTTAAATTCGTTAATTTCGTGTTTTCGATTCTCGAAAATTGCTCGGATTCATAACTCTAGTCGATTCAAGCTGCATAATCAAAAAGAGGAGCGAATCAATGTGGCAGCCGCCATAACCAACTATCGACTAGAAAAATATAGATATAGTTCAGAAAAAAACATGTAAATGCAGTGAATAATAATAATATATTTCTTCATGATCAGGTACACGCCAATTTTTACAGGCATGATATATAAATTACAACATTTGTTGGCATACAGCATGCTTCCCAACTTATTAAGTTTATAGTTGTTATGAAGTAGACTCGTAGAGCGCTTGTTGTAAACTATGACCTTGAGGAGACGCGTACGTCAAGTTTGTTCCAGACGTCAGAAGTTCCCTAGCTGTGCGCTCAAAGCAAGATTCTGAAGAAAAGAAAAGAGAAACAGAAGAGCAGCAAGGCGCTTGGATATGAACGCGAAACGTTGCTTAACATTGTGTAGTAGAGCAGACATAGGTGTAATAAATTAGAATAAATTCATATTATTTCTTGTTAGAATGAAATGAAATTAGAGGCTCCATATAAGGGAATGTGGTTATAAAGAACAATGAGCTGTGTTGTTTAGCACGTTGGAGTAAGCTCACATGAAGGAAGAGAAGTCAAGGTTGGTACAAGGACGACGGTTTATTAGAAGGGAGTGTGCGTATAGAAGGTGAAGTGTTAAGTATACTAATAACTATATCTTTTACTGTCTAATTTCCTCTTTCTTTTTTTATTTTGTCCATCCGATGCCAGCCACACAATCCTAGTGTAAAAGTCCGAGTTAGCATGTTATAGGTTGTCTTGGTAGAATAGCTTGTAGCGTGGCGTCGAGTTGAGGTTAACTGTGAACACCGCTACCAGGAAACAGGTGCCAGATAAATCAGAAGGCGAGGGTTGGACGTAACCAAATAAATCCATAAAATCCCCGAGAAGCCAAATATCAGAAGACAGTTAATGGACCAAGTCGAGGTTTATTAGCTGGCGATCTCGTGGCATCGAAAGGATACCGAGATCGTGCCAGGATACAACCTTGGTTACAGAACGTAACCGAATTCGCGCGAAGTTACAATCGAAGTGTATATAATAATGGAAGCACAAAATAGCTGTCATTAGCACAGTCAAACAAAAGCACGTTAAAACAAACACTGGTACAGTTGGTTATAATAATAATTGTTTTTATTAAACCAGTCGTGTTCTCGTGATAAACGTGAGTCACTACAGGAGCCCCCCGCTAGAAAGGGTTTACACTTTCGATAAATAGCGGTTTGAATCGTGGGACTGATCGGCTGACGAGCGATTGTAGGACGGAAGAATTGGCGAACAGGAAAGCGATCGTTGATCGTCGAGTTGCCAACGAAGGTCGTTTTCGGAGAACAGTACCAGGAGCGATGTGCTGTATGTATTGCTTGAGTTGGCATGCTACACGAGAGTGGTTTGTATCCAGAATCTGAAGAGGGCGTTCGTACGGGTCCGGACCATAAACGCTGCAGACGAAGGACGAAACCACGTTGAGCCAAAAGACCAGAAGCGACCATAACGACCAAGTTTGAGACCAAGCGTATGCCAAGCATTCGAAACCAATATATCGACTGAGTACGTTGACAAGAGCGTGGGTGGCCAATCCAGCTTTCGCCAAAGTTGACTGAAGTCGACGGAACCAAACGGAGATGGTCGAAGGCGTGGGCTCAGGAAACAAAAAGAAAATCAAAAAAAGAAGAGTGTAGCATACGTGTAGTATAGGAATAATCCTACACCGTATCGGTTGTTGACTGTGCGACTAGTCGCGGAGGCGTACGGGTAACCGTACTCGGCGACCGGAACGTGAGACGGCAGTCTCGTTCGTATTTCGTGAGCCTGCAATCTCATCCGAGGTCAGAGGCGGCGTGGTCTGCTGATCTGGACGTGAGACTGTCGTCTCGTCCGTAGAGGGTGCAGATGACGCGTGCTGTTGACCGGGACGTGAGAATGAGGTCTCAGATACATCTAGCGTGGGACCTGAAGAAGATTTAAGGATCCCGCTAGGTTTGATAGGTCTAGCATTGAATCTCAGGGTGTCAGATAGGGCACTGTCATCGACGTGTGCTGGTTTGAGACGATCAATGCTGACGATCTCGACGCGTCCATATCGATCAACCTTGAAGGTCTTTTCGTGACGAGCGATCACGTGAAAAGGGCCTTCGTAAGGTTGTTGCCATGGTTGGCGTACCGAATCTACTTGTACAAAAACATGTGAACAGGTAGATAACTCTCGAGGGAGAGCGACCTGTCGATGTTGTATTCGAGTTGACACCGGAGACAGCGTTCGCATAAATGCAGACAGTCGATGGACGTAGTCTGATTTACGGAAATTAGGTCTGCTCCGTGGTGTGAAGAATTCTCCGGGCAGACGCAATGTCGTGCCATATACAAGTTCAGTGGCGGAACATTGGATATCTGCCTTTAAGCTCGTTCTCGCCCCTAAAAGAACGAGCGGTATGGTTTCGTGCCAGTTGCCGTTTTCGTGTGCTCGTAGAACACTTTTAAGTTGGCAGTGAAACCGTTCAACTTAACCATTTGGTGCTGGGTGGTAGACGGAGATGCTTATGCGTATGCATTCCGTACCAAGCAGCCGGGTCAGCGAGGAGAATCGTTAATAGGGTAACATTTCTCGAATGAAGCGTGGAATTCATCATCACGCGAATAAAAAGTGACAAGGATTCGGTACACATACGTGTGAGTCTATTATATTAATACTATTCTTATCGTTATCCGTCATGTCGCGTATATTATATATTAAAAATATGAAAATATACGACAGACGTGGATAGATAAATCATAGACTCACCGAATTGGCTTCTTTGGAAGATTTGATCAGAAGTTGAATCGTGTTCCAAAATACGGCTCACCAATTGTAGACGAATTGGGATTACCAATTGTAGCGTGGCGTCGAGTTGAGATTAACTATGAACACCGCTACCAGGAAACAGGTGCCAGATAAATCAGAAGGCGAGGGTTGGACGTAACCAAATAAATCCATAAAATCCCCGAGAAGCCAAATATCAGAAGACAGTTAATGGACCAAGTCGAGGTTTATTAGCTGGCGATCTCGTGGCATCGAAAGGATACCGAGATCGTGCCAGGATACAACCTTGGTTACAGAACGTAACCGAATTCGCGCGAAGTTACAATCGAAGTGTATGTAAGAATGGAAGCACAAAATAGCTGTCATTAGCACAGTCAAACAAAAGCACGTTAAAACAAACACTGGTACAGTTGGTTATAATAATAATTGTTTTTATTAAACCAGTCGTGTTCTCGTGATAAACGTGAGTCACTACAAGCTAATCCAGCATAAAATTAGAAACATGAGTCTGAGTGGTAAGCGTAGGAACACAACCTATATCACAGGTTGATTGACTTATTCTCAGTCATAAAGAGCCTGATACATACAAAATGTTCTGCTCCATAAACACGGGTGGACTGAAGTAATCGCCCTCACCATCAATGCTTGCTGATCAGTAACTCCACTTTCTCTCTTTTTGTGATGTCAGGCTCATTTTATCTTATTTTTGGATATGTCATACCTCACACAATCCTCTGTGTTTCACATCCTGTTGGAAAGCACTATTTCTATAAGTACCACTTTACAAGCTTATCAGGCAGTTACAAGTTATGGACTTCGGGTAAGGCATCGATGTAGTGCTTTAATTGACTATAGTATAAAGTATAAGTTGCCAGTTGGAGTATAGGCATTCAGAAGGGTATAATATAGGATAGTTGTTTATTAAAGCAGGCGGAAGAGTATAGAAGTGTATGAGTTGTAGATAAGGTAACGAGTGGAAAAATAATATTAATTGCTAGTCAACATAGTGTACAGATGAGTAAAAAGCTAATAAAGAATAAACAGGAAGAAACTCACATTAACTTGGTTCTGATGTTATTTTGTGTTGTCCTAACTAGCTGATGGGTAACAGGCTCCATAGATGCAAGACCACTGGTAGTAGGCAGTCGATTGTGCGGTTCTCTTGATTTTTATGGTGGTAGTGAGTGTCCCTTAGCGACCGAGTTTAGTTGAACAGTATCTATAAGTTCAGTGAGTTACCTGTCTACTTCAAGTGAAGGAATAGGGTGGAAAAAGTAACTAATACAACTGCAAAGTAGGAAAAATAAGGCAGACTGAACTTGAAGTCCATTTTGGTCCAGACATGTAGAGAGCCTATGATGTCTGAGTGGGGCGCAGATTTGTTCGTACGTGCTAGATCAGTGCAAGTGAGAGCTTGATCAAGCAGTTTTACAAACCTATGTAATTCATCTGTCATGCGTATTTCGGAGGGAAGACGGTTCCATATTATTGCATACTTGCTGAGGAAGAAGTTTTCCCGAGTTTTTGATCTGTATTTCTCAACTGTGATGGTAGATACTTTGTTCCGAAGTTCGTATTCATGTGAATCTCTAGCAAGAACCATCTTGTATGTTGAATAAGTAAGGTTTTGAGTAGTTTAAAGTAGAGAATCAAATTAGACCTGAGCCTTCTCTCCCAAAGGGGTGATATTCCTAAGATTTGGCATCGGGAACTATAGTCAATGACTGAGTCAGTCTTAAGCGTTTTGCGGGTGAAGTATCGCTGTATTCCTTCCACCTTTAGTATATCATATAGACGTAGGTTGGAGAATAAGAACTTGCATTGTTCGACGATAGGTCTTACGCGAACTTTGTAAAGAAGGATTTAGGAATCATGGGAAACTAGAACAACAGTACATAAATAATAACTTTTCAAGCAGAATCGAAAGATCAACGAAATGTTTATCTGAAGAAATCAAAAAGTACAAAACATAACATTTTGTACGTGGAGAGATTTCCATGCCGAAAACTTTCAAAACAGTACCTGTTTTATGATGATCTGAAAGATTTTGGAGGTCAGTGGTCGACTAAAAGAGCGAATCCTTAGCCTTCTACTGAGTTCCGAAGCTGCTGTACTGCCAGTTGTTGTAAGACTCTACAAATAGTCAAGTCAGATTAGTTAATAGTGGGGCTAATGAGTGTTTTGATGTACTTGTATGGGAGGAGAGCTGATTTTGCATTGAATCCTTTAACTGCAGATAGTGCTTTTTTGTGTTGTCGTCGATATTGTTAGTTTTCGCATCTCCAGGAATTTGATCAGTTAAATGTCACATGAGAGACGCGCGATTCGGTATGAACGATCAATAAAAGCTTACCAGACCGCTGAACTTGCATAATTTCCTGACTGCGGTCGGTTCTGGGTTATCCAGAATGACTGTCACATTCCTTGCAGAAGGCGTATGTCTTCATCCATGGCATGCTTAAGAAAGTTCGAGGGGTCCGTTCTGATTTGACATTTGTGATTGTTTACTTGAATGACGTGTTTTTGCAGTCATTTAAAAACAAGATCCAGATGTTAGGGATGGGATTCTTGATCCTGATTTACGAGTGAACAATCATTAATGTAAGCATGCTCTAAGCTTTCTGAAAAGTCTGTGCACTATTTTTAAGCCGATAGGTAAGCGCTAGAAAGTTTTTGTTGTCCGGAGGGAGTGGTGATAGTCGTTTTCACATTGCCATCTTCAGCCATAGGAATTTAATTAAACGCTTTAACCAGACCGATTCTCAATAGAATAGTTGTACCTTTCAGTGTATTTGTCAGGTCGTAGGAGTAGCACGAGAATACGATCGTGTGTGTTAAGTCAGCAATAATCATCAGTTGGACGCCAATCCTTGGTGTCCATTATAGGGGCCATGAACCGAGGTGTTGCCCGCGGGTCGTTTAATGGCCGGACAATGCTTAAATTTAACGTGTGCACGGGGTCATTTATGGAGTATCTTAGCTTTTCGTGAGCCAGTACGTACGCTTTCAAAAGTGCAAGTGGTTCTGCTGTAGTGATATGGTATGTTATATTGCTGATTAGATGTGATAGTTTTCGACCTATTCTATGAAGTTCGGGCCACTTGTTAAGTTTCCGTTGGAAGCATGTGTAGACCGTATGCATCGACTGAGACAGAGACGTTTGCAACACCTAGAATCTAGTGATTAGGTTTACATAAACCCACGTTAATGTAAGAGTTTTCTTTACCGTATTTGGGGATCTTCTTCTCATTTTCTGGCAGTAAGTTGATGGCCGGATTATGTAAGTGATCATTAGAGTTCGCAGGAAGGCTTAATTCTGCATCAGTGTTGTGACGAGCTTATTTGAGGAATTTAGAATAGTTTACGGTCATGATGATTGTAAAGATAGTAAGAGTATTATAGAGATCCCCAATATCATTATGTATCGTTTGAGGCCTTTTATTGACAGTACAAACATCCGTGCTGAAGGGTATGATGATTTCTAGAATCCGGCCGGCAGACTCAGCTAATTCTACTATGGAGTCACTTGGGAATGAGACGAGAAACGCTTGCGCAAGTCGAGGAAGCGTAGAGGGACATTCATTGAAAGTTCGTTGATCGGAGACTTCCACATGCGTAGTAACACTATTGTTACTGAGTCGTGTGGGGGTTTTTTACTGTGGAAGAGCAGGTTTATACGTTGTCAGTCAGTTTCGTCCCTTCGTTTAAGGATTGCCATTATTCAGGTGTCTCAACCGCTGCTACTACATTGATGCGGTTTTCGGGCTTGCCTATCGTAGTGAAGCAATCAAGCTATATTAGCTGCAGCAAGCGTTTCTCAAGGTTCTACCATTCCAGGTAAGTCGGTTGAGGAGCGGAAAAGTCGTACTGTTGACTGTACTAAAATGTGGTGGCAGTGAGGTGTTTCTCTTAGACTACCGGTGTAACAGCGATGCTGCCTTCCCATGAAGGAGAGGTGGGGTTAGAAAAGGTCAATCCTAAGATTGAACACTTCGCCTCATCATACGGATACTTGTTTCCGGCCGTAAGATCTCAACAACTATGAAGCTAACACAAAAATTACCTACAAAAAGGTCGTGTCTGACCGGTCTCAGGCACATGTCCCTTGGGCACTGAGGTCACGCTCTCCGATCACTAAGACCAACTCTAACCCATTTTCCATTTCAGGTGCCTCAAAAACCCTTACACGATATAGGCAACCAGGAAGTGATAACCACCCTCAAACCCTTAACCCCTAGAATTTTTTGGGTGTCCTAGATTCGTGAATACCATTTGTAAATATTGTAGATGTAACGTGCCTGTTAAAACCACGAGGCAGTTCCTTGACTAATGCGAGTAACTGCGCACATAGGTCTATCACACTGTGCTCGTAGACGTTGGCCCATACATAGCAGAAACGGGTTGCCATATTATCTTGCCAGAATGACAGATGAGAAGTGGGAGGAATAAGTCCTAATCTTTAAAATGTCCTGGAATGCAAAAATAATATCACAGTATGTAAAAATTAAAAATAATACATGTCGTTGCAAAATGAAACAAGCCCATAATTTGTGGTTCTGTTTGCCAGACCACGTCGCGTTAACGACTTAAGGTACCACAGATGCTTAGGATGTGACCGCATTCGTTCGTAACACCTCTATATTCGAAAGACACCAACTAACTCAAATCAGAAGTAGGGTATGAACGAGTTCGATGATATATTTGAAAAGCTCTTGATTTGTTGCACGGGGTGCGTAGCACGACGTACTAACTCGTGATCGGGTGCGTGTGCATGATCGAACGTCCGCAAAAACAACGACGTCAGAATAAATGTCAAAGACTCATATAACTATTTATTTCGGGTAATAATTCATCACTACAAACTCTTTTGATACTTTACTCAACGTTATAAACAGAATAAACATTTCAGAGATCTGATAGGCTATAACCTTCCTGTCAAGTAGACCTTTGAATACTGAATCAAATGCTCATAAACTCCTGTTTATTTTTGTTTTAGGAAAAGATTCAGTCATTAACTGTTTCTAATGCTTTGAAGAAATCTATGGATTTTTATCAACAGTAGGCTTTGGTTCACAGATCGCTCTTATACTCCAGGATGTCCACGGGCTTATGTGGCACAATATACATGAATACAAATCATGTCATGATTTAGAGAGCACGAAGTTTTTGAAAATTTATTTTAGGAGAGATTAACTCGAAAATTATTTCATGAGTAGCACAACCGACAGCATTGAGTCAATAAATACTGCTTTTTGTGCTATCGGTGTATGAATCTGCGTTACTTTATTACTGAGAAGCCCAATAATTGCCACAGAAAATTATCATAATGCACATTCTGAAAGCTGTTTTGCAAAGAATTAATTGAGAATTGAGGCATATAACCGTTGGCTCTTTCACTGGAGCCACTTTTGAAATGCATAGCAAGTGGTATGGAGTACTTAGTTATTTCCAGAAGGTTGGTTACTTTGTGCATTGCCCTTGCTTTCTGGACATTTCATCACTACTTGTTGTGTTTTCAGGAGAATAATATCGAAAACAAAGCGCAGGTTTGTATGCAACCTGATAAACTAGGGTCTGACTAGGATGAATCGCTCGGAGCAGTAAATAAATGACTTTGGGGTCCTCGATCATAAATATGTTGTGGACAACAGCGTAATCAAACACTGATTATCCTCGACCTCCTTGCTTCTAATGAGAACGTTAGCTCGACTGTTTTGCTGGTTGATTTGTGGAAATTTAGGATAAAAAATTTATATTTAGACATCAGGTATAAGTGCACTTCACACAACTATTGGTGTGCGACTTCTCAGAAATCGCCTTGATTTGAGATTTTCTCAGGGCGATATCAGTGAGAGTAGAAATGGCAACGTATAATCCTGCCCGGTAGTGTATCAAATCTATGCAAGCTGATATAGGTAGAAATATTGTTTGCTGGTTTACGGCAGCGTACATGATTCTGATGAACATGTGGAAGTGTAAAAGATAATTAGATGTAAGACTTCACAAGCGGTTTCAAACTATGTTGTTTTCTGTCTCGATACCACTGATTATATTTGCTGAGGAAATGTTCAGAGATTCTGTATCTCAGCACTGCTTAAGCTACTTATCAGTAACTTCATAAACGAAAACTATGATGGAACCATCTTACGAACGACCTTCGAGTGGGTCCTAAGTGACCTTGAGAAATAACCAATCAGAAAACAGTGGAGGTAAAAATATGTTATGCAAAACCAAAGAATTATAGTGGGTAAACTTGTACATGGTTTAAAAAACTTCAAGGTTAGAAGGAGGTTCGGAGGTTCTGAAATCATCATGCCTACGATGGAGGACTTCATTCATATGGCTCCATAGTAGTCGACCTGTGGAGCCATGGTGAGGTCGCAAGAAATCTCCTAGCATCGACCATATAGCTTCAATATTGTTTGTGTGCACTCCGGTTGCTGGGTTCACAAAATGCCGCTTGTGGATAACGATACAATAGACATAATCAAGTCTACGTAGGCATCCGCAGGCTCTCCAATCATCTCTATATATTGTAGTACCTGGCTGCACATATTCCTGTATAATTGGTATTATCGTTGTAGCCTGTTGGTTTCTAGCCCGTTGGGAGTGTCTATTTTGAGATTATCTGTCGTATGTTCCAAGGACTTTGGAGATATATTTATGGTAGTGCTACTTACCCAGTCTTTAACACTACACCCCTATTGAATTTTCGCTTTCTCACAACTATTTCATCTATTTTAACGATTCTCCCGACTTCCCCAAACGACTTGTATATGCTTGTCATATTTACTGCACATGTCTCAATACTCACCACTGACCAACCGAAGTTTCAGTAACATCTGCAAGTTTTGCAGCCAGTGTTACTGGTGCTTTTATTATTCAGTTCGCAACAATTATCATAATTTGCCTTAGTCTCAATCTGGATCGAGCAAAAAAAGCTCCTCTTCTAGCAGAAATCTTCCTCCAACATATATACCTTGCAAGACAACACGGTGATTTGCACAAGTCATTTGATTACCACGATCACAAATACAGGAACTTCCTAGTAGTCTAATTTGTTGTAGCCATTCAATTGTGTCTTCTCTAAAATCCTCTGTGAACCGATCGTACGTGAGCATCAGGTACTAAAATTGTTGCCGTGAACTTGAAATCCTTCAAACGCTTCTGATTGGCTCGTCCATAATTTATAGTCTTGCCGATCTGTTAGTCTTGGATCAAAAGTGTGACTTAAAGGTGAGTTTACAAACTTGTACCTGACTTCTAAAGTACATAGAGTAAAATTAAAGCCGAACCTTTAAAAAGGTGACTGTAAACAACATACAGATGTACTTGAATATTAATTTTCATTATATTGCCTATTCCTATATTAACCCGGATGGTAAGCAAAACACCAAGGATGTATAATGAGTATAAATCACAGTTTAAGGAGCAAGTCTCATCCTTTAATGATTTCCTGTTGTTGACTTTACCTGAGTGTCATTTGCTTCATGTTAATAACTAGTAGTTGTCACGATACTACCTCTATACTGCTAAATGACGAGGCTGAAAAGTTTAGGCTCAAGATCAGCTGTCTCCTTAATATATGGATTTCAGATGCATGGATATGGTTTAAAGTTTACATGTTATACGTGAACATTAAGATATGTCAAAAGAAGTACAATCTCTTTTGCTAATGCTTTTTTGAATTATATCTCTTAAAATTTAATTCATTAATATGGTGTTGGGTTGTATTCACAATTACAACTCACTCAGGCAGTTGGTTCTAACTGCACAGTCAGCACTGTCAACAAAAATTAATGTCCTTATATACATGTATGTAAAAAAGTTCTGTAGGTAATCTTTTGAATAAGTAAAGAACTGCTCAATGGAATCGGAATAACTCAATTGTTTATATAGTATAAAATGGGTTTATGACGTGTTTATTTATTTCAAGACAAATATTGGTACAAAGGGGCACCGAATACATATGCACCACACAAGTCACTCCACATATGTGTGGGCTGTGATAATGCTTGGGTGCCCAAACCGAAGCAGGTGTTTTTCTTAGGTGGCCACACCCCGAGCCTTTAACCTAAAGGTCTGATCCACAAGGCAGTGGAGCAGCGTCAGGAGATGCAGTCCTATGGTAGCCGGTGACCAACGATAGGTTTATACGCCGATTGTCCCTTCATGATACTGGAGCCCATGTACACCATTGGTTGGGAATCAGGGTTTTCCAACTCTACTACGTAGATCCTTCATATCCAGCAGCCCGGTTAGAGTGCCGGACATTCGCTTTTCTTTCAATTTCGTAAACAACACCCCTGGTGAGAGAAGACAGTGAGTAGGACTTCCATGATAGTGGCTGTGTACGCGTGGCCATATTAAAGCATTTGGAGAAGGGGGGTTGACTCTCCTCACCCTCGGCCGTACCAGGGCATTTGGGGGCTAGGACATGTATAAACTCAGCCATTCGCCTCGTAAATTCACCACAGATGCTATCTGTTTCGTTTTTATGCATCGGTTCCCAGACTTAAGTTTGCAAGAAATCATTTGATTGGGACTCAACATGATAACTCAAAAGTGACCACATCGACGTAAAGCTTTTGACTTTTATTTTAGGTCCCAGACAGTTCGTGTTTTCTTGTTGCTCACTTGTCTATCCAGTTGCTGGTTCTCTCATCATGTAACTGTGAGGGTATAGTAACTTAAATCTGTGCGTCATTACATGTGTTTCTGTAGAATTTTCGTTAGTCGAGTTTAAAACATCGAGTATTAGTACTAAAGTATTGAATAGTGATTTAGCACTTAAAACATTTAATCCAACTACTGGGTCATAAGTTCAAGTCTCATTCTACCTATTTCAGTTAATGTAACCGGGTAATATTAGTCATTCTCACTCAAAGTGTAGCTAAAAACCGTGCTCGCAAGCCTATATTCGCTTAATGAGTTATGTCAACTAAATAATTCATTAGTGAACTAGTTGAAAAGTTACTGGAGTACTACAGCTAAACTTGTTTGTTTGTTAGTATAATATTTTATCTTCTAAAAAAAGTATTAATTACGGATAGTCATTTGGTTGGGACTAAAGTTTACCATAGTCCGTTGTTGCTTGAAAGATACATCCAAAGTAATTAATTACTGTGAAGTGGTTTATTTTCGCTCATTCGAATACGCTGAAAACCAATTTACCAAGAGCAGATGAGTACAAATGTCAATAGGTTTAAGAACCAAACTGTCTTTATTTAATAACGCTAATCTCCAACTGCTTACACTCGTAGTTGATACCATCTCTACTCTTTACACCAATGTACGCAAACCTTAACAGTTTGTTGGTGCGAATATCTCTATATTGTAGTGTGTTGGGGGAGGGACAAAATATTCCGAGATACTCGAGATGTTGGTTACAGAAGTCGACATTTTAATGAAGATTAACAATTACATGGCTATTCATAAATTGTAAAAATTTCAGATTTACTTATGCTAAAAGATCAGTACAATATTCTTCCCTTGGTTTGTCTCTTGTGTTTAATAACTAAGGCACAATATCTCATTTCTTAGTGGTTATCTTTTCAGAATCTACCATATTGGAAATCATCTAAATACTATCTTTGGACGAAATTTACAATTGCAAGTGGAGTTGTTGGCATTGGGATTGTAAGCTTAGCTGTACCTGTATATGCATCAGACTTACAAGCTCATCCTGCAAAACTACCTTGGATACACAATGGGATAATATCTTCTTACGATCATGCTTCTATGCGTCGAGGTTATCAAGTATACAAAGAAGTGTGTAGTGCTTGTCACAGCTTGAAGTATATGAGCTATCGACATTTAGTCAATACAGTACTCACAGAAGATGAGGCTAAAGCGGATGCAGCTGAAGTAAGCTGAATGCGGATTTTGTTTGTTGATTCATAAAAGTACTTGGTGAATGCTGCTAACTCATTGCTGAATAGTCATAGTGTGAATTGTTTTCCATCCTACTGATACCTTTTTCTCTTTACATTTTAAAACATGATAATAACAATCTGTTAATCAATGAAATGCACAGTACGACCTGGTGCATGTTTACATTGGTCTAAGTTCCTATTCTCCATTAGCACAGCAAGAAATTAAGACAAATCCCAGGATAGTAGAGCTTTTTCACACACATAGTTCCCTTTATCATCTTGCAGAGAGTAAGGACAAAGATTTTAGCAGAATAACATGGATTCCCTTTATTTCGTTTGGTTCTCGTCAGCTGCTTACAACCTGTGGTATTTGAAAATCATAATTACAAAATTAGTTTAAATCGCTTGCATGAACGAGTTTAGTTAGAAGTAACTTTGTAGACATCATTATAGTATAGCAAGGGTGAAATATTGTGAATATATATAAAAGGATATTCTACAACACTGGATCTAACAAGAGTCCAAAGGGACAGAAATAATTAGTTACGTAATGGGTAGACTTTGGTAATAAGTAAGAATAAAACGAGTAAAGTTAGTAAAATAAGACTAATAATTTAGAATACAGAAGAAATAAAAAAACGTAGTGATATAATTAACCAAGGTAAATAAAGATTAACAATCATCTTCCAAGCACATAAATCAGGTTTATGACGCCCCCAAATGTCCTGTTATGGCCGAGGGTTGGAAAAATCCACGCGAACACGGCCACTCCCAGGGAAGTCCTACTCACTACCTTCTAACGGTGGGTCTGTTTGCGAAATCGAGAAGACAAGAAGTGGATATCTGGGGCTTTAACCGGATTGGTGGGTGCGGAAGATCGGCCTCGAGTAGCTGGAAAATCTGAATTCCAAACCAGTGATATACACGGGTTCCAGGATCCTGATGGGACAAATGGCATATGAACCCATTATTGGTCACCAACTACAATCGGACTGTATCTACTAATGTTATAAATCGAATGAAGTGTGGCGCATATGTATTTGGTGCGTCCTTATACCAATGTTCATGTTTAAGCAAATAAATATAACACCTGATAGCAATGGCTTCAGCAGGCTTCAGAACACTAGAGTTTAAGTGTTTAATGATCGCATTGAAAAACTGCAAGTTGTCGACCCGATGTTTTGTATCCAGGAGATGTTTAGTAATTGCTTTGTTTAAAGCAGTTCTCTCTTGTTCGAAGGTTTTTTGGAATATGTTCAAAAAATAGTAGAGGTAGTAACAGTATTAATGGTAATAGAAAAGAATAAGTATGGAAGTGCGATTGAAGAAAATATAAGTTAGTAAAATAAAATGAACTTATGAGGAATTTAGAAAGAATAACAATACATCTTAGAAATTTCTCCAAGAAATTAAGCTCGAAAATATATGTAGATTTAAATCATAAATGTTATAATTTATATCCATCTCCCTCAAAAAGTCAATATAATATACTTCCATATTTCAATTTTCAACTGATCACCAGCGTCACTTGATGTTTACTCATACGAGTGTTAGTTACATACTAAATCACTGAATTCGTGCAGTTTGTTTTCCAACTAAGGGCATCTAAGACCAAGAAGTAATAACCCATACACTAAAATTTAACAAAAGGCTTTTAAAAAATAATACTCAAAAATTACTCGGCAAGGCGGCCCGCTAGTTCTCTAGTGTTACAGGATGGGGATTTTGTCGGGGTATTTGTGAATTACAAATTCTTCCCATTTCAATAATTATAGATAAAGACCGAGTAGGATAGTCTTTTTTCATGTCTCTACCCGATACGGATTAGCTCTACTAGTCACGGCTTCTCACTAGAACTCCGATAATTCCCTCATGAAGCTAGTCATTGGTGAGCACATGGTAATTTTCAGTATAGGGTTGTGGATATTATCAAGTTATTGAGCGTTCGCGCACGAGACTGGAAACCCTGGGTCCGGATCCCGCGAGCGGGATCGTGGATGCGCACTGCTGAGGAGTCCCGCCATAGGACAAAGCGGCTGTCCAGTGCTTCAAGGTTTTCAATGGTAGTCTGATATCATTCGGTTCATAATCTCAATCAATAACTTATTAACCTCCACAACCCTATACTGATAAATAATTAGGCTCATTCACTAGTCTGATATCATTCGGTTCATAATCTCAATCAATAACTTATTAACCTCCACAACCCTATACTGATAAATAATTAGGCTCATTCACTAGGTGCTTAGGTATAAGCTACCCTCTAGGTATGAGGAATAATGATACTACTTAGTTGCTAAAGTCGTATTAGATGTAATTGAGTTCGAACCTGTGGCTTGGCTAAAAGTCGACTTCCGAAACCGCTTATCCATTAGCTCCTTGTTTTAATGACTTCTCATTTAACTTTTATTACTGATCATCGATGTTCTCTTCGTACAGCCTGCTTTCTCAATCTATATTTGGTCGGAATTCGTACAACTGCATTTGATATATCTAAACCGTAGCTTAAGTTTGTTGCGTAACTAATCCTTTGGATGTAAGTATTTCCTGTCTGTCAGTCAAGCGCAACGTAGAATCCAGTATATGTGTACATCAGTCCAAGTTCCCATTTCCTATTGGCACAGCAAGATGAAATTGTTAGGACAAACCCAAGAATAGTACAGGTAGTAACTGTACTAGTAGTAATAGAAAAGATTAGGCCTCAAAATACGATTCAAAAACAAATCTATGGGGAATTTTGGAACTTAGAGTCTGAGGGACGAAAGCGAGTGGATGCACCTGTGTTGTTGCAAACGATTTTGAGCCATGTCATTCAATGTCTCTGACCACTGGTTATAAAAACCACCTAGTCTACACTTACCTACATGACTCAGTCCAATTGTCAAGGTATACATATACTAGTGCCACGTCTTGGTTTGGCCGCCCTTCAACCTACACTAGATAACATAACTTAAAAATAGTTCCGAAATAATAAGTCCTATCGAGAAAACTATACTCTCACATTATTTGCGTAAAGTGCTAATGCATTCGTGTTATCAATCAGTTACTAACTTACTAGTGTTACTTAAAATTTTTAATAACTACCAATATTGTTTTATACATAAGTATATCATCAATCTACAGAGGCCCGTTGTTATAATACGACATCTGTAAATTGATGGATACTGAGGTTGTGTTGAGGACCAAGGGTTCAGATGTTCTAAGATTGAAGTATATATATGCTTTTGATGTCAATTTTCCCGAAAATTAATGTTCATAGTTTTGGTTTAGAAGATGTCACTGCCATGAAAAGTGTAAGCTTTCGTATTGTTATTTACAGACTGTATGTTTGGAACATCGAATTTAGGTTATTGTGGCTAGACTCAGGACACTAGTAAAGTTGTCTCTGGGATATATGTAACGTATGTTCAACCGCCGCCTACCTCTACTTGCAATGTCGAATGGCGTATGAGTAGGCTAGAAGACAACTAGGAGTAGTCAAACCAAAACTTGACGTTAGTTCATGAGATTATTGACCATTGATTTGAGCCATGTTAATAAGTAGCGACTACATGGTTAACGTTCTCTCGATTATCCCAAGCAATGGTTCTAGACATTGGGGAACATGTCTCAAAATCGTCCCAGATGCAATCGCTCACTGTATTTTCTTACGTAATGAGTTCTAAGATTATTTTTTCTCTTCCTTCCCCAAATCAACTTATCTAAAATCATGTTCTCTGTGTCTAACATTCTCTACCAACACTAATACTACTACCACTATTAATTCTACTATTTAATTGTTTATCTTAATAATTTCATCTCTCTGTGTTGATGTATTGTGAAAACTTGAGCCGATGCAACATATATGCCTGATTCTGCATAAAAAATAACCTAATTATTTCAATTATTGTTTTAGTGGTAATATAAAGCTAAACATTCTTGTCCTAGCATCATTATTTACAAATTTAAGGACTGAAAGTTACTATGACTGATCATTTGATGATTTACTATAATTGTAAAAAAATAGTTATTCAGTTATCCGTCAGATTTTTCATATTAATTGTTGTTGAGAAGTCAAACATTTCAAAAACTAGCCGTATGTATCTCTGTATTGTCTATATGCCACCATGTAAGCATTAATGAATTATACAGATATAAGATTTAAATGGAAGGAAACAATAACAAAAGATTTATTATTTATCTGTTATAATTGCATTGTAGCATATGTATCCTGATGGACCGGACGATAACGGAAATATGTTTGAACGACCAGGTCGGTTAACTGATGTACTTCCATCTCCTTATCCGAATAAAGAAGCAGCGCGTGCTGCTAATAACGGCGCAGAACCACCGGACCTGACATATATTGTCAAAGCTCGGGAGGGTAATGAGAATTATATATTCCATCTCCTTACAGGTACATAAATTTCACTAAGTAACTGTTGTAAATTTATAATGCTGAATACTTTATTTATTTATTAGGAAAATTTTTTATTTAAGGTTGGTGTTTCAATTAATTTAGTTTAAGGAATAGAACGTGTTACAAAGAGGCCCTCTTTAATATGGTCAAGGTAACTTTTTTGGAAAAGTGTTTGTTTCTCTCTATTAATTCTGTATTGGTATCGCAAACTGACTATATAACCGTTGAGTATAAAGAAGCACTGGATAACTACTTCGTCTTAGTATGGGACTCCTCATCAGTGTGCATCCTCTAATCCAATGAAGGTTAAACCCAAGACATCTAGGTCTCGCGGCGGGCACCTCACCTTTGGACTACTGATACGTCACCCATTGATCTACGTATCTGACTTCAATCAGCGGGCAATATCGCGCAAGCGTCTTGCACTGTCTTTTCTGGGTAACTGCCTCATAGCCAATACAGTTGAACTCTATTGGTTACGGCTTCTTACTAGAATTCCTGGAATATCCTTGGTGTTATTTACTAGTGAGCTCAACAAAAATATAACTTTTACCCTTAGATCTTTACATTACAATTAGCTGCGTAACATCACAAGACAGCCTGTTCTGTAACTAAAAAAGAATCAATATTTAGGGAAAATGCTACTATTTATATACATCTTTGAGCAAAAAGTTTCCTCTTTTGAGTAGAGAATAGATTTCCCAGCAAAGTTTTTTCGATCACATAGGAGTATGAATAAAAATTCGGAGTAGAGGAATTTCTATCTCACTGTGCAATCACCTGCGATGTTGATTTCCACTTCAGCCACTTCCTGTCACAATCAATCAACTTCAAAGATTTGGATCCGTAAGGCATACAATGCATTCGTATACATCGTAAGAGACAGATTTAGAAATCGTAAGCCAACCGACAATATTTTCAACAGCATGAAATGTATGAAGGAAAAAGAATTAGATGACAAATTTTATTTCGGTGATTTCCTGAAAAGCGAGACATAACTGGGCAAACAGATAAGCTACAGAGACGAAAAACAAAAATTTACAACTGTCATAACTCAACAATATATAAATTAGTTATGTTTGCACACTGTTCATAAGATCAGAGGCTTTTTGTGGGATTCTTAATTAACGAAAATTTTAAGCAATTCATCTCTTTTATTTCTGTTATGTAAACAGAATAACCGTTCTTGAAACTTCAATCCATGTTTAACAAGACATTCTATCATCCGGAAATCATCCTCTCAGAAAGACGTTTTAGAAATCATTGCAAAGATTTAGAGACCATTTGAAATTAGTGTGTTGCTTAATAACTATTACACTATTACCTCATCCCATTCCATCTACAGTTGTATACGGATCAATAAATACAATAATGGAATGACAAGTATGTCAACAATTATAACAACTGCGAAAAGCAGTAACTTAACAAAACATAAATATCCTTTCTACCAACGTGCTACTGTTAACGTTGTTTGGTAATTGGGTAACACAATATGTTGTCACTGATTGTAATAGGTGTAAATTACTAGAAGAGATATAGATGCAATTTATAAAGTACCAAAATTCTTAACTGATGGAATTCTAAAAATTAAAGTTTTACAAACGTCTGACATCCGGATTAGTTTATAATTTTAATATACACATTCAATTAATCAAAATAGTAAGAAGAAATCATTCCAGTCATGTATAGTTTGTTTATTGCATTGTTGAAATCAACCAATCACAAATTAATTCATTAAAATAAACTAACATGAGTGTAAGACTTGTGGCATTGATAATGTCGAGCATGAAGTTATGAATGTTACGTAGTTAACCCATCCAACTAAAAGAATTCAACACTAGTTGACGAATTTACAGCGTTTCTCATTATTTTAGTTACAGTTTGTTTGTGTTTTGTTCGCATATGCTGAGAGCATTGGATGAAGGATGTTGCGGTTAGACTTAGGTTACTAGGTAAGGATAGTAAGCCGGTTTGAGGTTGTTAATCTCCATTAATTGACATGGTTTGAATATATGTTACATAGAGTGAATCGCCTCCTATTTTCAATTGGAAGGCATTCATTCAAAAGCGTGAGGATCGAGAAGGGGGAATTAGGATTTTCAAGAGTTTGAAATGTGGTCGGTTTGCCGTTTGTGAGTTTGCCTCGACGACTAATCAAAAACATAGTTTTTGATACGTTTAATGTACCACTCACTTTCGAATAATTCTGTAATTTTTCGAATTAAGTAACAATCTTTCATTCTTATTACCTTAGTCATATTGTACATCTATTTTGAACAACAAAGCTAAGAATCTGGTTGACCTGCTTAATAATTAGTATGAGGTTTTACAACAGTGAGATTTAGACAATGTACCTTTCCAGTAATTATTGAGTAATATTTTGCAATCATATTCACGAATTACTTTCATCAACTGACGCATACGCCAGCGTGAATATGAATTATTTGACGGAACAGATTATTCTAACATTTGTTAGGCATTTTTGAAACGGACTAAATTACGGCTCTACTGGGTGATTTATAAATTCTTGTAGATAATTTTTGTCTATTAATTTACTTTCTATTCCAGGAAATAGATAAATCCAACTGGAGTTTCGTTATTTAACTTAGATTCATAGGTGATAATTAACTTAAGAGTGAAAAAGGTAAATTCAGCGCTGGTCCTTATTTGGAGCTCAGTTTCTATACTAATCTAATTCCCTTTGAATAAAAGTTAGACAAATATATTTTTTGGGGATATTTATTTGCTATAGAATTTCGTTTGTTGACCTGAATTCCTATTCAAAACGGATGTACAAGATAGCATGACCATAGTGATAAGAATGATTGTTACTTAATTCGAAAAACTACAGCTTTTGTTGAAAGTAAGCGGTACATTAAACCTATCAAAAACTATGTTTTTGATTGATCCTAAAGGCAAACTGATAGACGGTAAACCAACCACATATTAAAAAATTTTGTTCCCATTCCCGAAACTCGCCCTTACTAACATATGGTTTTTTTGATGGTCGTCCTTATTGACGTGCACCCTTTTCAATCGCTCCCTTATTATTGTGTGGACTTTCCTGCAATGCTGTTGTAAGAGTAGAATCCAAGAAGGCTAAGTCTGTCTAAATAAAAACATGATATTTGTCCATGAAGTCATTGATTTGGTTTGAGCCATGTTATCATTTGAAAACTAACGGATTGGGATTCTCGTGATTATCATAACCAATGGCTAGAGACATTATATGATGTAGCTCAGAATCAGTCCGAAAGGCACAGATGCAATCACCCTTTGTTTTTCCTTAAATCTTGAGTTCTAAAATTATCTCACATGTTTTATTCCGCCAATCCATTCTTTTCAAGTTATGTTGTCTATATTCAGTGTTTTTTGGTACCACTGATATTGTCAATACTTCTACTTTCGAAATTGTCTTGATAATCTGGTGTGACAGCTTTAACCGATCTGCCTGTATGCTACATTCTACATCGCTTCTGACTAACTGTATTTGTGAATATGTATTTATATTTTTACGCTTACAGGTTATATGGATCCTCCACCAGGTCGTACAGTTTCAGATGGACAATATTATAATCCTTATTTCCCTGGTGGTGGTATAGGTATGGCAAGAGTATTGTATGATGATTTAATTGAATATGCTGATGGAACACCTGCTACAACTAGTCAAATGGCAAAAGATGTAGTAACATTTCTTTGTTGGACTTCTGATCGAACTCATGATGAACGTAAACGTGTTTTACTTAAGGTAATGAGGGGTGGTTTTAATTTTATCATATTAATGTTTCATTGGAGCTATAATGGAAGTTTATTTAGTTCCATATAATTTAATTATGTCTTATTGTTTTATGGAATTTTCTTGAAATTACTTTTTAAAAAATAGATCTTGAAAAATGCATCTACATTTATCTGCATAGTTTGATGTTATGATGATGGAAAGTTTCATTTAAGGAGACGTGATATACCATCATGTATACTCTTGAGTTATATATTATGCATATTCTAGTCAAAGTTTCATACTTTAAAGCCTTAAAAACAGCCAAATAATCATCATCTTGGATTGGTTTATCGAGAGATGGCTCAATGGTATCGCCGTTAGATTTTCAGCCATTAATCCGTTGGTTCGAACCCCGCCCCGCCTACTTCTGTTAAGACAACCAAGTGGTATCACTAAGACACGATTAAAATAGGACTAAAAGTGAAGTACCCAGACTCGTATCCAGTTAATGAGTTAATAGTAATGATTTTTATTCAGAGATAAGATTGAGGGAAAAACGTATAATCATTTTCCTATAAATTAGACATTTTTAGATCTATTTGGCGTCTTAGTGTGCTGTCAACGTTGTCCGAGAATATATATATCGAAAATTGTTAAGGCCATTGAGAGTAGGGATCGCTGGCAACCCAATAAGACCACTTGATCAATCAACCTAAGAATAACTACCTTCTTCTTAATGAAAACTAATTAAATTTCAACCATCACAACGAACCCTCATTTGTATTAGCTCACAGTGATTTTTGTGGATTCACATCCGATTTGAAATATATTGAAATCTTGAACAAAGTCAGTACAAAGAGGATCAGAAAAATTCGGGACTCTGATCATTCACCAATCAATAAAATCAACTTATTAACCAATTTAATAAAAAAACTATCAACAGTCATAAGGTCTATGGGAATGACAATAAAAATAACTTCAGAATAAGTGTTAATAACGATCAATCAAATTCGGAGTCGACAGATAAACCTGTTTATAATATGTAGGGAAATTCAAATAGCTCACCTCCATTCGAGATTTGTGTTGATAATAATTTTGCACTAGAAAGGCAGTGGAAACTCCACGACTAAAACCATTCATCTTAAAGAATGCAACTTCACAAAACTACAATTACATTTAATATATAAACTAGGAGAAAGTGAATAGATATGATCAAGTGTTTCTTTGTAAGACATTTGAAAAGCGTAGCCCGAATTCGTATAGTCATTGACTATTAATCTGACCTGTTAAGAACAAAATGGCTCAAATTTAGATAGCAATAATAAAATTGTATCGTTTAAATCTTGAGTTCTATTGTAATCCTAAACTTTATATCAATTGATTCCGTTCGTTGTTTTGAAATTATATGTTATTGTTATTTTTTTGTTACTACAATCTATCTTCCTTTAATACTTCCATCTTCACAATTACTGTTCTCACTTTATGTTGTTTCTAGTTTAAATTATAATATATTAGGCTGATACATAGTTATATCCACGTTATGTGGGACGGCCAGACCAAAACGTGACATCAGTGCTTGAAGTCACTAACTTCTGGTCTGAGCCATGTTGGTAGATGCAAAATACTTGGTTGGAGTCCGCGTAACCATCGTAACCAATGGTTGGAAACTCTTGGTGACATGGCTCTGAATCGATCACAATCGTGTCGGTGTATACACCCCCTGTCTTCCCCTAAACTAAGAGATTAAAATCGCTTCATATCTTTCTTTCTACGTACTGAATCCTTCTTTCTGTACTACATCTTTATATGCGATCTTTCTTTTATATATCACCATCATTGACTTAACTACTCCTATGAATCCAGTGTTCATATTGCTGTGCTAATGTGGCATGGCAACTTGGACCGATGCATATATGTGCATGGTCTTACGTTTTAGCTGACTGACTGACCACGTTATGTATTATTTTTGAATAAATGATTCCTTAAAAGGCTCAAAGTTTATAAGTCCATGAAAATTCCCAAAGAAAATTAATCAAGCTAAAGACAATAGATTGTTGTAAATATTTATCACTTGTTCTAATTACTCTTTTTTTCTTTAAAAAGGAACAACATGAAATATATTATGTGCTACTTTTAAACTGTTGAAATTGGTTTTTTTTTCTAATTTTCAGGCAATAGTAATTACGAGCGTTGTGTTAGTAATAATGGGGATATACAAACGGAAACATTGGTCAGATATAAAAACTAGGAAGATTATTTACAAAAATCGACCAGTGCCGAAGGATGTTTAGTAAACTTTCTTTCAGTTTTCTTCAATAGAATCAATATCATGTTCTCTCTTTATGTGTGCGTATGTTTCCTCCACTTTCTACTGTTTGATACTTCATCTGTCTACCTTAATAAAGGTGGGGAAATTGAACTTTTAGAATGAGCATGTATTGATTATTAGGAGTATATATACACTTATTTATTCACTTACTAATTAGTTCTATAAGTTGTTCGTACAGTACTGGTCAGGCCAATGCGTTTTGCTAGTTCGACATTTGATAAGATTTTTTAAAATGTAGCTTTTTGCAAAAGTTATTTGTCTTCATATTAAATGAAAAACTGGTGGGTAATGTGATGAAAGCTGGACATATATGTTTCCACTGTTTTGTATTGTAAATCCACGATATTTGTTTATTGTTCTGTAGGGTATCTCTTGTAGATGACTTTGTTTGATAAACCTCACGGGTTTGTTTTTTCAAGTTCTCAGTTAGTTTTGAAGCTATATTGGTAGTGGAAAAAAGGAGTTAGTACACCTGCATTACAGATGATTGTACTCAGTGATTTTTGAATGGGCGCTGGTATCCAGAAGTTCGATTTTGACTTTGTATGGGAAGCTTATGGCAAAACTTTTATGCTTTATGTTGATTATCGTTTATTATGGTGTTAGTTTTATGATGTCTAACTGTATAAGTGTGAATATGCAATGCAAGCAAGATTCGCCACAAAGGATTTCAAGAAGGTTCTCACTGGAAGCAAAGCTCTTGCGGACGGGTGTCCGTAAATTTGACAGTTGTTTTATTAGCTGTGACTGAAAATTATCTTCTAGTTACAACTTACGACTACCCATATACCTTTACAACGACCAACAGTCTAGGTGCTTTGTTAGCTTTGAGTTGGTATTATGTGAATTACCGGGTGTCAATTTTATTTTAGGCTAGCCGAAGAATATGTAGAGATAGGACTGAAGTACTGGGAGTCTTTCTGCTGCTCTCTAGTGTGATTCGGTGTCGTTTACAGAGTGTAGCGTGGTAGGTTAGGTGATGTCTAGAAATTTGTTTACCTGTAGGCTGGTACATTGGTCTTAGGCCGGTAAAAACCGAGTTAGTCCTAGCTAAACGTCAATGCCACTAGTTCGTTTCTACGTTAGATCATTGAATATTGAGCAGATAAGTGGTCCTTGTTTGAGTGAAATATAACTAGCGCAGATTAACCGACAAGATGACGAAGAGGCCTATGAGTCAGCGGTCCCACTCCACCTAAAATCTGTAACTAGCAAATACTATTGCCATGGCAAGTTTCTGCTTTATTTGCACGAGCATCAAGGTACCCTGTTCGCATGATTATCACTATAGGATAAGCCAGTTCAGTCTTACTGAAGATCTGTTTACTCTTTAAATTTAGGCCTACTAGTGTAATAGCCTAGATAAACCCGCTGGTAGCATGCAATAATTATGAATTCAGTAGCTTCATCACAGATACCAAGCCAGCTTACTCTGTTTCTTCACTATCAATCTCATTTATTTCCAGTTGTTTATAAGCTACTGCGAATCCGTCCAAATATCTCCACGTAAATGACTTTTAAACAACAGCTTTTATATTCACTCCATCAGTTTGGTTTTAGCTGAATGTGGATTTCTGGACATCCAATACACGAGTGACGTTTATTTAGATGTAGTTTTTATACACTAAGTGAACAGAAAAATCAAAGTACTGGTTATATTGCAATTAATAAACATAAGATTTTTCATCACTCTGTAGTGCTGTTGGTTCTTGATGTGTGGTAGTGGAAGTAAAATATGACTAGTCGTTGAGCGTGAACAACAGTCACAGCAAACGGACCATTAGATATATGATTTCCCTTCCTGTAACTGATTTCTATTTTCGACTCACTAAGTGTAACATTGTAATTGTATTGAATGAAGTATTGCTTAGTGTTATTCTGGTTTTCTATTTTGAGTCGTCAATTCTCGTTCTGATATAACGATTAATTTTAATAATATATTATCGTAATATACATGAGAGAGACAAGAAATATCTTGAAAATTCATTATATCAAATTGGAGATGGGCAGTTTTTCGTTGAACCGACGAATTTCATTATATTTTGTAATTGGATACGTTTCATCAATAAAATGGATACTTTGGAAGTAATGCTAGATCCGATTATGCAAACTCGAATGAAACCTGTGGAATATATTTAGTGTGGAAAAGAGATATAACACAACTCTCAAGAGTGGTCACGCCTGCAAGGCCGACCCATGCCACCCGATGAATTTGAATTTTGGACGAAACTACTTGTTCTTCCCGCCTTCTCCATCGTTGAGTTTTCCCTCGCGCTAAATGTTGAATATCTATTTCCTCAATTGTCTCGTATTCAGCTTTGAGGGTCGTGTGGTCAGGGTCCAACGCCACTATACTACTCTCCCACCAGAATCAATGTAGCATTGGTTCGATACCAAATTGAGTGCGATTGTTGTGTACAGGAGGTTACCATGAATAATAAGAATCCTCTGGGTATTAATAAGAAATTCGAACACTGCACTTCTATCTGAAGTTTATGCTGATGATGTCGTTCAGAAGAACGATGAAAGCTCCACGACCAAACCACCCAGCTCAGATAACAAAATATCACCAAAATCTTCACCTAAATTTTCATTTCAAGCGTGTTAGGCAATAAAACATTTCAAAGTTATTACATGTAGTTCCCGATCAGTTGCTTGATTTGTCTTTCAGCTTATCAATACCCGGAGAATTCTTATTATTCATGGTAACCTCCTGTACACAACAATCGCACTCAATTTGGTATCGAACCAATGCTACATTGATTCTGGTGGGAGAGTAGTATAGTGGCGTTGGACCCTGACCACACGACCCTCAAAGCTGAATACGAGACAATTGAGGAAATAGATATTCAACATTTAGCGCGAGGGAAAACTCAACGATGGAGAAGGCGGGAAGAACAAGTAGTTTCGTTCAAAATTCAAATTCATCGGGTGGCATGGGTCGGCCTTGCAGGCGTGATCACTCCTGAGAGTTGTGTTATATCTTTTATTCATAACGAATATATCGTTATATATCTAGCTTACGCTTGTTCTTCATCATGTATTTGTTATTGTTACGAAGTAATGTGTTGGTGTTGAGATCGATGTGACTTACACTTATGATATTATAGATTAAGCGGTTTCGTCATGACAAATCTACAGTTTTAGGCTGAGGTCCATTATTATAGCAGTACTTATATCGAAATAAACCATAGTTGTAGCAGGTGTCATCTTTGGCTCTATATTTAGATATGGATAGATAATGGACGCGTCTAAATACCTATCTGTTAGTGTTACTAGCAGAATGATCATGTTACTTGAAATATAGTTCTGGCATATAGAACCGTAAAATCTGTAAACTCCTAAGCAACACGTATTTCATAATAAACGTTCATGCTGAACTAATCAACTAATCCCTAAATGGGATTAATCAGCTGCCTAAGGTAAAAGCTGATCTAATAATGTTATATTTATAGATTTCATCAAAGAACTTTTTAAGGTTTATCACTTCGGACTTAATGATGAGCTCTCGATTTTTGGAATTACAGTTTCCTTACAACAATGGATAAGCCGCTTCCTCTGGGGTCGAAGACATGGGATGATCGTAAGTACGACACTATTGGTATTGGTTTGTGGATTGTCAAGTTTTTGAATGAGATGATGGACCGATTAATGTTAGATAACCATTAAAAACCTGGAAGCACTGGATGGTCGTTTCGTTCTATTATGGGATTCCTCATCAGTGAGCATCGACGATCCGACACCAAAGGAACTAGAACTTGGGGCCTTCAGTCTAGCGCGCGAACGCTTAAACTACAGACCATTGAGACATCATCAAACGTTGTTGATGTCCAACTTCAACCAATCGACGTAATTATGCAACCATCTTCCATTGTCTGAGGTAGATATCTGTCTATATCTAACATGGATGATTGCGACTTCTCGCTAGAAATTCGAGAATTCTCTAACGAAGCTACTCATTATTGAGACATTGTATGGATTGAAGCCAGTCAAAGCGGTGTATCTTATGGTACATTCTTAGATCCCCTAATTTTTCTTGTCTACATAGATGAATTGTCGCGACTGTTTTAGAAATCGACATTTTTGTCCTCAGATGGTGTCACAATCTGAGGAATAGTAGGTAGTTAGGCTGATCATCTTGATCTCCAAGCTGACCTAGACTAGTTAGTTAAATGGCTTCAAAGTTGGATCTTGGAAATGAATTCTAGAAAAAGCGTGGTAATGCACATTAGACATGGCAATAGTTATAATATACTATCAAAGGTACATCGCTTTCATGCATGAAAACAAAGGCTTAGGGGTAACAGTATGTCACGACTTAAAAATAACTGTGTATTTCAAAGTAGCAGCCGCCAAAGGTTTTCGAACGTCACTTAATCGAACATTCAAGCGCTTTGACGAGGGGATATTACTGATTTTATACCCAATCTTTGTTAGACCATAGATGAAGCTCTGTGTTCAAGTAGCCAGTTCATGTCATACTAACACACTCGGGTGTGTTCAACGTTAGTTAAGGTCTTATCCCAACTCCCATACATTGATCACTTAATGCACAAAAATAACTTTGCTTGTCAAATCGTAGAACGCTAAGTGACATGATATCGGCATTCTGTATTTTAAAGAAATGATTTGGATATTAATACGTCCTATCATTTTGCTTCCTCCATAAGTAATCATCTCTGAGGCCATATTAAGATGGTTCAAAGACTGTGATCTATTAAACTCAGAAAAGGAGTTCCGTTTTTCTCATTGAGAAGACTGTGACTCGAAGGTCCTACTCGAACAAGTGGTGCTAGATCCATCAACAAATATTTTCAATGAGAAATTGAATCTTCGCTGGAAAACAAGGTGGCAAGATTAACACAGATCCACTGGCCTTCTATCATTGTTACTGAATACTCAGCCACAAATTTATCGTCTCTAACGTCTTTCCTGAACATATTCTAGAATTCAAGTAGTTTA